TCAAGCTAAGGAAGGCTAATCTCAGACACTGGAAGGCAGGCATCTTCCCCCGGTAAGAGAGTCAGAGTGACCTGGGACTGTAAGGTGATCAGTTCCATTAGGGTCCAACCAGATGTCTACTTTCCACGCTTCAGAATTCATTCTTTAGCACTCAGTTCCCTCACTTTCACATGAGAAACTTGGTGGGATTGTAAATTTAGCTGTTGTTTGTAACCAGCAAGCCATACAATTAAATTTTGTGTGTGAGTTTCAGCCCTATCACTACAAAAAATAAGAGCTTCATTTAGAGCTGTCATAGAAGCTCTCTGGTTCTCAGACTATGACGAGCCGAAGGTCAGTGATCCTAAATTTGTCCTTTTCTTTTTGTAAGTGCTCAGGTGAAGTCAAAAGAATCCAGTCAACACTGCTGTCCGTAAAGCCGTAATTACTGCCACAGTGGTCAAGTGCAGCAGCCATTTGGGCTCTCAAAGCATGTGCTTGACTTAGCACTCCCTCATAATTGGCACGGGTGATTGCTTGATTTGTTGTGATGGAATCTGAAAAATAGATCCCTGTGGTGTCTAATAAGGTCTATAATTTTGTCATGTAGCTTGTCATGTTACAGAACTAGAGGACAAAAATAGTACAGAATTGCCAAGAAAAATAGTTTTTTGGCTATAATATCAGGTACCAAAGTCCTCTTAAAGCCTTTTCATTTGGTTTCCCCTATGTTCTCTTTAATGGTCCTGTTCCATCCCATTTTCTTACTAGTATTTTACTTTTACAATCTATTCAAATGGGATCCATTCTTCTTTTTTTTTTTTTTCCAACCGCGGTTGATGTATAAAATTATATTAGTTTCAGGTGTACAACCCAGTGGTTAGAAATTTATATAACTTAAAAAGTGATCACCTTGATAAATCTATACCCATCTGACATACAATATTATTGACTATATTTCCTATGTTGTATTTTACATCCTCATGACTATTTTATAACTACCAATCTGTACTTCTTAATCCCTTTACCTTTTCCACTTATCTCCCAACCCCTCTCCCATTTGGCAACCTTCAAAATATTCTCTGTATCTATGAGTCTGTTTCTGGTCTGCCTGTTTATTTTGTTTTATAGATTTCACATATAAGTAAAATCAAAAGGCATTTATTTATCTTTCTCTGACCTATTTGACTCAGCACAATACCCTCTAGGTCCACCCATGTTTTGCAGACAGCAAGATTTCATTCTTTTTTTTTAAAAAAAGTTTTGGAGGCATTTTATTTATTTATTTAATTTAATCTTTATTGTATTATTTTTCCATTACCATTTAGTCCCCTTATACTCCCTTCATTCTTCTTCTTCTCTCTTTTTTTTTTTTTGGTGACTGAGTGTTCTATTGTATATGTGCACCTTTTCGTATTTATTTATTTATCTGTTGATGGACACTTAGGTTGTTTCCATATCTTGGCTCTTGTAAATAATGCTGCAGTTAACATATGGATGCATATGTCTTTTCAATTTAATGTTTTGGGTTTCTTCAGAAAAATACCCAGAAGTGGAATTACTGGGTCCTTCATTGTCTCTTGTTACAGCCTTTGTTTTAAAGTCTATTTTGTCTAGTATAAATATTGCTACCCAGTTTTTTTTTCTGTTTCCATTTTCATGAAATATCTTTCTGTATTCCTTTGCTTTTAGTCCATATGTGTCTTTAAATCTAAAGTGAGTCTCTTGTACAAGATAGCATATTGTAAGGGTCTTATTTTGTTACCCATTCAGCCATCGTGTATCTTCATTTACTTCATTTTCATTTAAAGTAATTGTTGATAGACATGTATTTATTGCCATTTTGGTATTCATCTTTTTTATCCCTTCCTCCTTACCCCCCAAAGAAGATCCTTTAACATTTCTTGTAATACTTGTTTGGTGGTGATGAACTCCTTTAGCTTTTTCTTGTCTGGGAAGCTCTTTATCTGTCCTTTGAATTTTTTTTCCTCTAATTAATATTGGCAAGAGAGAGAAACATCGATTTGTTGTCCTCTATGTATGCACTTACAGTTGATTCTTATATGTGCCCTGGCCTGGGATCAAACCTGCAACCTTGACATAATGGGATGATGTTCTAACCAACTGAGTTATCCGGCCAGGGCTGTCCTTTGATTCTAAATGAGAGCTTTGCTGGGTAGAGTAATCTTGGTTGTATATCCTTGCTTTTCATCCATTTGAATATTTTGTGCCAATCCCTCTGGCCTGCAAAATTTCTATTGAGAAGTCAGCTGACAGTCTAATGGGAGCTCCACTGTAAGTAACTAACTGCTTTTCTCTTGCTGCTTTTAAAATTATCTTTTTGTCTTTCTTCTTTGGCATTTTAATTATGTGTCTTGGTGTGAACCTCTTTGGGATTCATCTTCTTGGGACTCTCTGTGCTTCTTGGATTTGTACATCTACTTCCTTCATGAGGTCAGGGAAGTTTTCCGTTGTCATTTTTTATTCCAGTTCAATTAAGTACAATTCAAATAGGTTTTTAATTTGTTGCTGTCTTCTCTTTCAAGCACTCCGATGATACAGATGTTGGTACTGTTTAAGTTGTCACAGTGACTCCTTAAACTATCTTCATATTTTTAATTCTTTTTCTTTTTGCTGTTCTGATCAGGTATTTTCTGCTTCTTTATCTTCTGAATTACTGCTTTGATCCTCTGTTTCCTCTGCTCTACTGTTGGTTCCCCATAATGTATTCTTCACTTCTGACTTTTTTTTTTTGTTTTCTATCTCCATTTTCATGTGCCCTATCTCTGTTGAAGTTCTCAATAAGTTAATCTACGCTTCCCCTACATTCATTGAGCATCTTTATAACCAGTGTTTTGATCTCTGCATCTGGTATATTGCTTGTCTCCGTTTTATTTAGTTCTTTTTATGAAGTTTTGTTCTGTTTTTTCATTTAGGACATGTTTCTTTCTCTGCTCATTTTGGGTGCCTCCCTGTGTTTGTTGCTATGTATTAGGTAGAGCTGCTACATCTCCCAGTATTGGTAGAGTGACCTTATGTAGTCGGATGTCCTGTAGGGCCCAGCATGACAGCTTCCCCAGTCACCCTAGTTGAGCATTCCAGGTACACCCCCGTGTGGGCTGTGTGCCTCCTTCTGTTGTAGTTGAGCCATGATTGCTGTTGACATGTCAGTGGGAGGGATTTCCCTCCAGGCCTCTTGGCTGCCTAGGACTGGCCCTGACTACAAAGTAGCTGTTCTGCCGGGACCAACCCCATGGAACAGGACTTTGCTTCAGCAGCGCTCTGGTGCTTGATGAGTCTGCCCCTTGAGTGTGTCACCAGTGAAGGTGGTAGGGTGATATTCTGGCATCTGAAGCTCTCCAGTGGACCCATTCTTAAATGTTATATTGAACTTTTAAAAGTTTTTAATATTATTCTTCTTGCTCTTATAGCTGAACTGAGCCTGGCCTCCATATAATTTTCTCCCTCCACTTATTCTCCATTTTGTTAATCCAAGATCAGAAGTATTATTTTCCTTTGCTGTCTTTTCACTCATGAACTCTTGGCATTTACCTTCAGCTTTGAGGCCTAACTCCAAGAGATGGAGTTTTTATAATATAGTTCTCAAGAGGAACTGAAGGTAACTCAGTTCCAAAGCTTTATGGTGTGCACTTGGTTTAATTAGCAGAATTTCTCCAAAGCAGCTAGTTTTAGATATAAGATTTTTCCAAAATTATATCCTTAACTTTGAGCCTGTAGTTAGAATATGCAATCAAGTCCTTTCATTTGTAAACATTATGGCTTAGTAAAAATGAGGTGTCATTTAGAAAGCATAAAGGCCAAGTTCCATACCCCCATCCCTTCCAAACCCCATAGCAATTCTGATGTTTCTAGTAGTAGTCCTGTTCCATGCGGTTGGTCCCGGCAGAACAGCTCCTTTGCTGTAGTCAGGGTGAGTCCTCGGCAGCCAAGAGGCCTGGAGGGAGATCCCTTCCACTGACATGGGCCTATAAAAGTTATTTTTAAGCACTTTTTTAGGTTATTAAACTGTTTATTATGTGGCATTTATGAAGAAAATAGACAGTGCATCCAGTAGAAAGAATAAAAAGGTATTTGGGGTTTTATTTTTAATTGTCAGCAAAGAGAAATTCTTTAGTGAGATCATGGTAGTTTGACAGTGTTGTGGTTAAGTTGAATAAAGGTACATGGGGTACTTGGAAGATCAAATTCTACAGCTGGCTCTTTCTTCAGCTTCTAAATCATCGAGCTCCTTAAATAACAGGGAAAGCTCTTATTTCATGAGAAACAGTTCCAAGTCAAGTTATAGGCTCTCCTACTAAAAAGTTCTGAATTTCATGTCAGTTGTTAAAATGAGGCCTTCTATTTGTTTTGGTTATTTCACCTTATTATCATCACCAGTATTCCTGTAATTCCACAATTGTGATTTAAACACTTTTTATCCAGAAAAAGTTATATTACACTTTTCTTTTGAAAAATATATCTCACAAAATGAATTTTCAGGAGAAACAATTTTGAGTTTTAGTCTAACTTTTTTTATCTCTTATAATAAATATCACATTTATAGTAGTGTCATTTTCTGTGGAGTAGCATATTTGCTTGAGTGCTGAAGCTAAAACATCCACTTTTCATGTGGGAATATACAGTAGTACAACTAGCTTATTTTAATTCTATAAAATCAACCATAGATGGGTATTACTTTAAAGACAGTTCTACTGATCAAATTAATGCAGAGTGGGATCTAAGAAACATAGTTATTTCCAAAATATACCTGTCTTTGGTAAGGGTATAACCTCTTTATCTCATCTCCCCAATTAAGAAAGTAAAAATAATAGTACCTACCTGTAGAGATTTAGTGGGGATCAAATGAATTAAAGAGTATTGAAAACAAAGTCTGGTACTTACAAAGCACTTATGTTAGCTGCTACTATTTTCATCCTTTTCGTTATTACATCTGTAATAATGAAAATTGTAGTAATGGTTTAAATATAAAGACTGACATTATTTTTTTTTCTTCATTTCAGATGACCTGTGTAGAAAAAGTAGGAACTGATGAGAAAATGCTTATGAAGGTCTTTCGCTGTTTGGGAAGTTGGTTTAACTTAGGTGTTCTGGATAGTAACTTCATGGCTAACAATAAATTATTAGCACTACTTTTTGAGGTTTTGGTAAGTAATGGCTTTTTTTATGAAAGTATTTCTGCCACATAGTCACAGTAACTAACTTTCAGGGACATAACAGTGTTTTCATATTTCTGTACAGTGATTGGCAGCTGTATGGTAGGAAAGCAGCAGTTCTCCTTTGTTGCCAGGTACCAAATTAAGGTGTTAGTTTTAATATTCAGTGTGGAATGAGTTAGGTTTAATAGGAAAACAGTCTTAGGTGTAGATCAATGAATTACGTATAAAAATTCAATTAACAAAAAAATTGGTCTCTTTTAGAAGTATAAAGTTGTATTTCTGATAATGTTCATTGGGTCTTTATTTTTTTTTATTTATTTATTAAAAATTTAGAAAATTTTATTTATTTATTTTTAGAGAGGGGGAAGGGAAGGAGAAGGAGAGGGAGAGGAACATCAATGTGTGGTTGCCTCTCACGCACCCCCTACTGGGGACCTGGCCTGCAACCCAGGCATGTGCCCTACAGGGAATTGAACCGGCGACCCTTTGGTTCCCAAACTGGCAGTCAACCCACTGAGCCACACCAGCCAGGGCTATTTATATTTTTTAGAAAGATTTATTTATTTTTACTATGCTTGTGAATTGGATTAACTAGTTTTTGAACCTCCTCAAATACCTTCCTCCGAAGAATATGTTGGAAGTAAACCTTTTTTCACATGCCTGAGAAATATTTTTATTTACTTTCATTCTTAATTTGGCTAAGCTAGGCAGAGAGGTCAGTATTTTTTCCCTCCAAAATTTTCAGGACTTCTTATATCCTGGAAGCCATCATTGCTAATGAGAAGCTGGATAACTCTGATTTTTGTTGCTTTCTGAGTTACCTTCTCTCCTCCCCAGAAGCTTTGAGAACCTCTCTTTCACTTTGATACTATGAAATGTCACATTGATGTGTTATGTATGGGTCCTTAATACCTGTTGGACCCTTTCATTTTAGATAGCACTTGAATGTCAGAAAAAGGATGGAAAAAATTTCCTGAGACTAAAATAGGGCAAGGAGTCCTGGCTGGCTAGCTTAGTTGGTTAGAGCATCGTCACGATACTCCAAGGTTGTGGGTTCGATCCTGGTCAGGGCACATACAAGAATCAACCAATGAATGCGTAAGTAAGTGGGACGACAAATCGAAGTTTCTCTTTCTCTGTCTCTTCCTTCCTCTCTCTAAAAAAAATCAACGTTGAAAATTTTTTAAAAAATCGGGTAGGGAACACAAATGACATTCCGTTTGGAGAGACTGATATGAAAAAACATGGATTTTAAATGTCATATGATCATGATTGGGGTACAGAAAGACTGATTTGCTTGGCGTATAGGGAAATAGAAATAGCACTGGGAAGATCAATGGATATTGCCTCATCAAAGGTCACGGCTATCAGTCTTTAGACATTTAAATTACATGTTCAGAAACAGACTGTGAATGTTTTACTTGGATTTCAGTTTAATGATCATACTTCCCTATTCCTGCTGTTTCTTAGCAACAAGATAAGACCTCATCCAATCTACATGAAGCTGCTTCAGACTGTGTGTGCTCAGCTCTCTATGCCATTGAGAATGTGGAGACTAACTTGTCCTTAGCCATGCAACTGTTTCAAGGAGTCCTGACGTTGGAGACTGCCTATCATATGGCTGTGGCACGTGAAGATTTAGACAAGTGAGTAATGAAGGCTGTGACCCTGGGTTCACGTACAGTCTGGCTTTATTTTTTTAAGTCACTTTTCATTATTTATCTATTTTTTGTGATTCTTTTTGACTGTAAATATCTACACTGCATCCTAAAGATGCTCTGCTTTCTCATCTGAACCTAGAATGGCAAATTGGATGCAGAAGAAAAGGTTGTAATCATGGAAAGTAGTAATATTTTTACACTTAAAAGGAAGGGGTAAGCCTCTAAGAATTAGGGATGAACCTTGAAGTATCAAGTGTGATTTGGTGGGAATTTTATTCAGATGTTTAGTAATTGAGGATTTGAACTGACTTATGAGTCATTTGCTTATATGTATATATATAAAAGTATATGTAAGGAATGGTGGGTGTCGTGGAGATATGAGTACAACACAGCAAATAATCACTCTGTGTCCCTTGGCTGAGGATTTTTTTCTTTATTTGATTAACTGTTGGTGAGTATATATGTATATAATACCAAGATTTCTGATTGGTGCTCTCATTCCTCTTTAATCTACAGAGTTCTGAATTACTGCCGTATTTTCACTGAGCTATGTGAAACTTTTCTTGAAAAAATTGTTTGTACTCCAGGCCAAGGGCTTGGGGACCTACGAACTCTGGAACTGCTACTTATCTGTGCAGGACATCCTCAGTATGAGGTAGTGTTTATACTGTGCTAAAGCCACTATTCTCTAAGTTTTATGTTGCATACTATTTATATTCCATTGTTTCATCTCCAGCTTTATATTTGTGGGAAATTATAGTCCTATTTTTCATTGATGTGATTTGGGAATTGCTTCTGTATTGGATTTTTTAAAAATCATTATATTTGGGCTTCTGGTTTGAATCCTTTTCTGTTTTTCATCTGATTCGCTGGGCTCACTGGTATAGGCATCTCAGGGAGCCAGTTAGAAAGCTGTCTATCTCTACTGAGCCCCCTACCTCTATCTCCAGTTATTCTTAGAGCTTTACAGCTAAAAACCAAACAAACAAATAAAAAAAACCCCACGCCAAATCTTAATAGCATCTTTAGCTATTATTTAAGCATCTTAAAATCTTAATTTATCTTATAGGGATAAATCTTACCATCTATAATTTGTCTCCAAATTATGGATGGAAATGAGAAAGAGATTAAAAGGATTTAGAGAGTCTCCTTTATTACAAAATTGGTGGAAGACACCTTTCCATTCTCTAAAGTGTGCTGGATTTTTTTTTTAATCTCTTCATTTATTCAAGTAGTTTTACATTCTCTTGGTAGTATAAGAAATGAGAAAGAACTTCCAAGGTTGGTGTTGTTTTCTTTTTTTTTTAATCCTTACCCGAAGATATGTTTACTAATTTGAGAGGGAGAGGGAGAGGGAGGGAGATGTGAGAGAAAAACGTCAATCAGTTCCCTGACCTGCAGCCTTTCTGGTGTGTGGGATGACATTCCAACCAACTAAGCCAGCTGGTCTGGGCTGGGTATTGTTTTAGGTAGCTCTATTTTGGATCCTTGATGGGAAAAGGATGATACAGGGCCCTTCTTAGGGAGGGCACAATAGTCCTGTGATTCTCAACCCTTTTTTTTATTATCATATAAAAGATAATGTTGCCCTGGCCGGTGTGGCTCAGTTGGTTGGATCGTCATCTGGTAACTGAAAGGTTGTGGGTTCGATTCCAAGTCCGGGCGTGTACAGGAGGCAGCCAATGAATGTTTCTCCCTCACATCGATGTTTCTCTCTCTAAAAGCGTGAAAAAAAATGTTCTTGGGTGAGGATTAAAAAAAAGATATCTTTCTTTGGTGTAATCTCCTGAGGATATCTAGGTTGTGATAAAACTCAAAATACTTTTGGGAGGAAATACAGCACTACATAATAATCACCACTCCTTTAAACAATGCCGTAAAATAAGCTGTGGATAATCTTTTTTCCCTTTCTTTCCCATTTAAGAAATTGAGTTAATAAAAGTGACATAAGGTCGGTATGTTCAGGGATTTGCAGATGGTTTGGTTGGAGTTGCTCTAATCTCAGATATAAAATGAAATTATTTCAGCATTTGGGAAAAAACATTTGAAGAGACTTCCATTTTTCTGTCTGTTTCTCTAAATTCAGAATCTAATACACTGTTGGAAAAGTTATCCCAGGACTAAACAGAACATAAAGCCAGTCATCCTAAATGAAATTTTGATTCTAACGTAAGAAAGTAATTTGGGAGGAGGATATTAAATCTACTAGAGAAAAGGTGGCTTCTTAATTGATTCCACACATATCACTTAAAAGTTTACCTTGTTTACCTATATATGGCCCTAGTAAAAATAAAACTCATTCCATTCCTTTTTCTCTTTCTTTCTCTAATTTAACAGGTAGTAGAAATTTCCTTTAACTTTTGGTACCGCCTAGGGGAGCATTTGTACAAAACCAATGATGAAGTTATTCATGGCATCTTCAAAGCTTACATTCAGAGGCTGCTTCATGCCTTGGCTCGACACTGCCAGCTGGAACCAGACCATGTAAGTTCTCTTCTCTACTTCTTTAAGTCTTAATTTCCTCCTCTTTTCTATTTTGAAGAGGGACTTTTGAGAATTAAGCTAATGGAATCTGCAGGTCTTCTGTCACTCAGTAGCTTAAACTGAAGAAGCCAATGGCAGCACAACGAAGAGTACTACTCCCACGTACAAAGAAATTCATTCTGCTGAGCCAGTAATTCTCCTGGGAATTTACTTTAAGTGATTCTGCAGAAGAAGAAAAAAATACCTACTTTATGTAGGAAGCATTATTTGTAAAACTAAAAAATGGTACGCCCTGACTGGTGTGACTCAGTTGGTTGAGCATTGGCCTGCAAGGTGGAAGGTCACTGGTTTGATTCCCGGTCAGTGCATATGCCTAGGTTGTGGGTTCAGTCCCTGGTCAGGTGCATGTGAGAGGCAGCTGATGGATGTTTCTCTCCCTCTCTTTCTCCTTCTCTTCCCCTCTCTCAAAAATAAGTAAATTAAAATAATAAAAAAATTAAAGAGTCATTATCTTAAATTTAAAAGTAAAAAATGGTAAACCCATTTATGACAGTGTAAGAAGAGTTATATCAGTTAATGATGTAGCAACTTGGTGTGCAGCAGTTAAAAATAATGACTATTGTTTCATGGTTGGTATGCTAAACAAAAAATCAGAATATAAATTTTATACTCTATTTTTAATAGTGTAAAATGTACGTTTGGATTAAAACTAACACAAAAATGAAATATTTGAGAATGTGGAAAATAACATGATTTCCCTCCCACAAGCATACATGTTTTTTCTTATACTGACTTTGTAATTTAAAAGAAAATACAGAAATAATTTATTTGCTTGGAAGAAAATGGACTAGAAATATTATAGTCTGTTTGAAAACTCTTCTTGAATTATTATATTAACAAAATGATAGAGGTGCACAGTTCTACAACACATCATCTGTACACTGTATTGTGTGTTCACATCCCAAAGTCAAGTCTCTGTCATTCAGCATTTATCCCCCCACCACAATCAATGCGATGATGTCCACGTATGTGAGTTCTTTCTCTTTTTTTTCTTTTTTGCTCAGTTCCTCCACCCATCCACCCAGCTCCCTCCCCTCCCCACAGCTGTCAGCCTGCTCTCTATGAGTCTGACTCTGTTCTGCTTGTTAGTTCCCCACTCTTTGCTTAGCTTAGTCTCTTCAAATTTTATAGCATTTGTTTCATCCTTTTGGATGGTTTAATCCTTGTCCTTCAATTTAGGACCTGGAGTAAGTTTTTTTTCCATTGCTTACAATAAAATCTGACATGAAAACTGTCTGTTCATTTTAACATTAACTTTGTTTGAGTCATGATATTTTATGTCTCTGCAGAACCTTAGTGATGATCTAGTCTAGTGGTTTTCAATACTTTTTTTAAACTGATGAATCCTATCTTTACGCATCTTACTTGGAAGACTGATAATGTAAATAAAAGCAGGCCACTCTGGTTTAAATGTCTCCACTTGCTTGATCCCTTTCTTCCCTTTGCTAATTCTGTGGCACCATTTCCCCTGCAGGTAATCCCCTACACTTGTAGGTGTGTAATGCTTTATAATTCATTATCTCGTCTGAGAAAGCCATCATTTCCTTTCCTCCTTACTTCTTCACTTTAATTTCTTCATCTTACAGCAAGGAGGCTGAACTAGATCAGCAATTCTCAATAGTACTAAGGGCTTTTTTCAGATTTCATGGTCCAAGATTCTTTTACATGCCCTTAATCATCTCACAATTGGTAAGCTTTTGTTTACTTTTAAGAGTGTTTTGGAATAAGAAATATTTAAGAAATACTGAAATGTAAATGATCTCTTTTTTTAATGAGAACTTTCAAATATGCAGCAAAGGTAAAAAGATTTTATTTGTGAATACCTGTATACCTGCTACTTAAATTCTATCATGATTATTTACTATAACTTGTTTTAATATGTCTGTTCACCTATATAAAATGCTTTAAAAAATTTTTATTTTGCCCTGACTGGTGTGACTTGTTTGGGCATTGTTCCACAAAGTTGAAGGTCACTGGTTTGATTCCTGGTCAGGGCACACTCCTGGGTTGTGGGTTCGGTCCCCTATTGGGGAACGTGCAGGAGTCAACTGATGGATCAGTGTTTCTCTCTTCATCAATTTTTATCTCCCCATCTTTCTCCCTGCCCTTCTCTTTAAAAATAAATAAATCTTTTTTATATAAAGAATTTTATTGTATCTAGTTATTGTGATAATGGTTGATTTTAGTAGATCTTGAACCATTAAGCTTCAGAAACTTATTCAGTCCCAAGAAGTCAGACCTTATCTAAATGAGCTTACACACTCCTAAATCACCACGCCTGCCAGGTCACTTCCCACCTTCACTACTCCAAATTTTTCTAAAAATAGAGCAAGGTGTAGCTTGGAAATGGGAAAAAAATGAAGTAGGAGAAGAAGAGTTTTTCATAGTAAAGGTGGTAGAGGATGGGTTTTATTGACTGGAAATACCTAAAAGTTTGGGAGACACTCTAAAGTAAAATGTCCTTGGTTTTTTTAGGTGATGTATCTTTTGTGCATTGGGACTAGACTACTTATTGGCCTTTTGGTCAGTGAAAGCCTTAGTGAGTTTAAAACAAATATTGTCTGATTTTGGTATTTCAGGAGGGGGTTCCTGAGGAGACTGATGACTTTGGGGAATTTCGAATGAGGGTATCAGACCTGGTGAAAGACTTGATTTTCTTGATTGGGTCTATGGAGTGTTTTGCTCAGGTAAGCCCATTTAGAGATTCTTACCAGTTTCAATGATCACTAATTGTGTTCACTTCTGTGTCTTCTGTAAATGTTCCATTTTTTCCTTCAATCTCAGTGGCTAAATAGATATGCAGGTGCCTAGCACACTGCCTGGCATATAGTAGCTATGTTTATTTACTATCTTACAAGCCAATTGCAGTCTGTAAATGGTTCAGTTATAGTTTGCTCTATGACTCTTGCTAATGAGAGCTGTTCCACTTGTCCAGCGGGAGTGGAAGATAATAGATAAACCTAAAGCCCCCAAAATACTTACAGGGAATTTGGACCTAGCCAGGAAAAATAGCAAGTTTGTCTGCTTTAATAATTTAATAACTCCTGGCAACTCGTTTAGTTATTTGGCATTTCCTCTGCCCACACTTCTGTTTGGATCCCTGTGTAGTTTCATCCCAGAGGTGACTATACTAGAGTAGAAGATTCATAGTCCTGTGGTTTTCTAACAATCAGTGAGTAACACTTTACCTCGTGAGGTTGCAATCATCACCATTTCACATCACTTAACATTAGCATGATTTCAGGTGGTTTTCATATTGCTTGATCATACTTTAAGCTCGGAAATACTAGTTTTGATGCTTTGTTGGCAATACTGAACTAACACAATATTTTTGTAATCCAGCCATTCTGTGTATTTTGGGACATAATCTGACATAGAAATTGTTAATAAAACTATTAACTATTTTTCTTTATATTAAGCAGAGTATGATTTATTGGCCTAGCTACAAAGGGCTGGGGAATCTTGGAAAAGAGTAAGATCCCCAGGTCACAGGCAGATGACCTGTGTTCAGATATCAGTTCTTCTCTTACTGGCTCTGTGGCTTTAAGCAGGTTACTTGTTCTTCTCCAGACCACAGTTTACAAGTTTACTTAAATCATCAGTGTTGTCCAGGATGCCAGTCCCATGAGATATTCTTTGGCAAAAAAAGGTTCTAGCATCAATTAAAATGGGGAAATGACTTAAATAATACATTAAAGGCTCTGTGAAGTCCTATAACAAGAGTTATTTAACTTTGTTTTACCTAGCAGTGTCTATTATTTTACAACAGAAATCTTATTTGGACTAACACACAGTCACATTCCACAGATAGATATACCCTGGGATATTCCTGGGCATCTCTGGATGTTCTGCTTGGTCTCCTTCCTTTCCCCTCTCACCTCCTATCCCCCCTTTCTTCAACATGGTATTATGATAGGTGCTTTTGGACAGCTACTTTTTAGGAATTTAATCTATACTACTAGTTCAATGCAGACAATAGAAATATAAAGCCAATGCATATATAGAGAATTTGCATTTACCTCAATTTTAAGTGTGTTTATATATTTATCAGTTATTATCAGGACCAGGAAAAGATACTTATGTAATATGTTTTGTTTTTTCCATAATAGTGATTTTGTGGGGGCAGATAATAATCTTGGTATATACCCTTAGGGACCTGAATGGGTTTATTTCAAATATTAAATTAGTAGTTACTTATAGGTTTATAATTAGTGAAAGCTGTGAAAATGAAAATAATAATTTCCCCTGGCTCTGAGAGACAGTTAATTAGATTTAGGAACAAGGGGCAGGTTTTGTTTTGTTTTGTTTTTTTAAACTAACAGGATTTTTTGTTTTGTTTGTTTTGGAATTCTGTTCTGTTTTCTTTTTAATGGATCCGTAATCCACCTCTTCTTCTCTAGTTATATTCTACTCTGAAAGAAGGCAACCCACCCTGGGAGGTGACAGAAGCGGTTCTCTTTATCATGGCTGCTATAGCAAAGAGTGTTGATCCGTGAGTGTCTAATAAGTCTTTTGCTGGGAACTCTAAATATCAAAGGAAGGAAAATTACACCGTTTTTCTCATGTGGTATATGTTTGGGAACTCTCAGAACGTCTTCTGTAATTGTTGTCTAGTCTTCTAACTTCTAGAATCTAGTCCAGAGTAGCATGCATTGCTGATATCCATGTTGTAACCACATTTCCTAGAGTTAAAATTATTTTGTTCTTGATGCTGATTTATTTATCTAACTGAGGATCCTTTGTGGAAGTTAGTATAATCAAAAACATTGTTCTCCTTTTTTTCTGTCTTAGAGAGTCATCTGTGAGTTTCAGAAAGGCAAGGCATAAGCACCATTTTACCCAAAAGGGTAGCAAAATTTAAAGTGCAACTGCCATTGGAAATTTTTAAATTATTAGAATTTGATTTCTAATTGCTTAGCATAGAAATTCTATTTATGATTTTAACGTGAATTCCTAAAAACAGAGTTTGCTTTGTGCTCTGAGTTTATAAATTGATGCTAATATCTGTCGGGTTTTCTTGTATTAAGATCAGATATTTATAGTTGAGTTCTCTATCCAGGGCCTTCATTGGAGAGATGGTTAAGGCATGTATTTGTAAAAAAAGTACAGTGCTGCTTTCTTATCCACCTTACAGGGCATAGTCAATGAAATCTTATATTGTTTCTAATTCAGAAAATATTCAAGGACACAGAATAGGTTTGATTTTTCTCTATTAAGTTCTGGTCCTGAATTACATACTATCCTATTTGCTCTTAAACCTATTTTGGTGTTTTTCGGAACCTTCAGTGACAGCCTGAAGATTATTAAAATCACTAGTATTCTAACTGATATGTGTTGGTGTGAAAAAGGATAGGTAAAGAGTGTCAGTAATTAGCTTAGTGTCCCGGGGAAACATAGGCATAAATGAGACAAGATTTTATTTATCCACATCTCAAGCCATCTGCATGATTGTAATTTTTTAGTGTATATAAAGGATTTAATAGACATAGTATCAGCAGGGAGTGCTCTTGTTTTAATTCAGGATATTATTTACATTTTAAACATCTTTCATTTCTGGATTATGTTCTACCACTTCGGGGGCATCCTTTGCTTAAATAACTTTAGCATTCTTGGGCGGCGAAAAAAAAGAGAGAAGGAAAAGGAAAAAATAAATTCATAGAGCTGTGGAAAGTATTTGGTCAACTTTAATTTTCCCTCATGTTCTAAATCAAGGTACCTTTACCTATACCTGCCGCTTGTGTTGTTTTTTTCGTTAGTAAACTGGCCTACCCATGCCTAACTGTTCTTAAAGTTTCTAGTATCCAGCTACAAGAAATACTCTGGAGAATAACAACTAATAAAAAGTGACCTATGAGAAATATTCGCTCATTTTCTTAGCTATTCAGCAATATTTATTAAGTGCCCACTATGTGCCAGGCACTGTTCTAGGTGCTGCAGATGCAGGAATAAATAAAATGGATTCTTTAAAAGAAATTCACCCCGTAGTAAATGCCTGCCTCTCCAATATGAAAAGCTTTATTCTATAGCAAGACATATCTTTGGATACTTCACTGACATTCAAAAGATTAAGGGAGCAGTATGCTTCACCTGAAACAGTGATATCTTCCATTTCTTTCTTTTTCCCCTTTTTTTTAAGATTTAAAAATCTTTCATATCAAGTGTTAAGTACTTTATCCAAATCGTTATTTATTTAGAAAGAAGCCCTTTAGCAATGATTTGTGTCATTGCAGCGTGTTACTTGGCCAAAACCTAATCTCTGAAATCTTCAAGTAACTCTGAGTACTTGCCTTCTGTACTCAGGGAGAACAATCCAACACTTGTGGAGGTCCTAGAAGGAGTGGTCCGTCTCCCAGAGTCTGTACATATGGCTGTGCGGTACACCAGCATTGAATTGGTTGGAGAGATGAGTGAAGTGGTTGATCGAAATCCTCAGTTCCTTGGTATGTATGACCTCTCCCTTCAGCCACTCCTGCTTCAGATTTTTCTGGGTTTTTGCCCCTCCTTTCTCTTACTTATTCTCTTGTTTTCCTGATTTCTCTTTCATTGCTAGGTAGAATGTTTCTGGACACTGAAAATAAATATATTATGAGTTATTGCTTAGTTGGTTTGCTTTATAGGAAACCTTTATAATAAGTTTTATTGGAACACTTATATTTGGTAAGAAATAAAACATGATTCTTCTGGAAGTGCTACAGATACATCTGCATGTTTTTAAGGCCCTTGATAACTATAAAGAAGAAGTATAAAAGTGTCAGCTTTAGATAACTATCATTGTTCTGATTAATGTAGGCTATTTTTACACAGTGATTCATCTGTGAGTATAATGATGGTTCTCTGGGCTTTACATTCTTTCTTATATTGCCCTATTCTTAATACTTGAATGGTCCTATCCATCAGTGGCTTTCAAACTGTGCATTGTGTAGCCCTAGCAACAAGCAGCAGTTGAATGCCCATGAGGGGAGAGATGGAAGATGAATAGGATCCAGGCCTCCCCGACACTATATCAGTGAGATCAGCTCCATTTTTGTTTTATATCTATTGGGGTTGGAACACATTTTTTTTTTTTTTAATGGTTCTTTTGCTTTAAAAAGAAAGGGAACCTGGCTGGGTTGCTCTCTTGGTTAGATCATCATCCTGATATGCCATGGTTGCAGGTTAGATCTTTGGTCAGGGCACAGACAAGACTCAACCAATTAATGCATAAATAAGCAGAACAATGAATTAATCTCTCTTTCCATCCTGCCACCTCCCCCCCCGACTTCCTCTTTCTCTCCCCCCTCCTCCTCCTTCTCTGTCTCTAAAATTGATTTAAAAATTTTTTTAAAGAGAATATAAACATCTGTTCTAACTAACTAGACGTTTTCCTTGAGTTTCAAGTGTGTAATCTCTTTATATGGCTTTTTTCCCTAGACCCTGTATTGGGCTATTTGATGAAAGGCCTGTGTGAAAAACCTCTGGCTTCTGCTGCAGCCAAAGCCATTCATAACATTTGCTCTGTTTGCCGAGACCACATGGCTCAGCACTTTAATGGACTCCTGGAGATTGCCCGTTCCCTTGATTCCTTCATGTTGTCTCCAGAAGCTGCTGTGGGCTTGCTAAAAGGTATTTACTTAAGATACTAACCAGGAATAGTCTCTCTAAAGCCACTTCTGGGAGTTGTCTTACATCAGGCATATCCCAGTGTTTCAGTTGCAATTTACTTAGTGATGGGGAAGGTAGCTTTTCCTGTCACAGGGGAGGGTGCTGATTATGTATACATGCATTCTTAGAATATTTTCAAATTGCTTACGGTATGTATAATACTGACCTAGATTTTGGGTGGAGGCAACACATTCGAACTAAACAGTTCCTTTTGTAGTTGGGGGAAGAATAAAAAGGGAGACCAGCTAAGCATTGCCATTCCACAGTGAGGTGAATGGAAATTTAAAGGTGGTGTGGTGCCTGTGTCAGTCCTACAAGTAGAAGCCAAGGGTCCTGGTCTCTTAGTGGCATGAGGCTAGGGAAAGAAGACTTAGAAGAGACCTTAAGCATGATAGCTATTTTTAAATATTTGGAAGATTATTATAAAAGAGGGAATAAAAAGAGGGGGATTTGGGGCCCGGAGGAGACCCCGTCCAATACGTCATCCTTTGGGCTTGGAGGAGTTGCTTCAGCAATTGGTGGGGATTGTGAAAAGAGGAAGGCCGAGTGGGAAGGGCCGTGGCCATCTAGCCCCACTTTCACCTCACTATCTCTCTTTTTTACCCTATCTTTAGTTAGAGTTCAAAGTTAAGATTTTACTTGGGGGAAAAAGTAAGGAGGGAGGCTTTTGTAGCTATTTAAAAGTTTTTTTAAATGGCAACCTTAGCTATTACTTTTCTGTTCAAAGCACTCATTTTATAAATAAACTGATGCCTAGAGAGAATGCTTTAAACCCAGTTCATAGATTCTGTTATGGTAGAACTAGAATTAAATCTCTAATTTCAGCCCATTCTTTCAAAACCAAATTAACATTCCTATTTCTCCAATTTCTGATGATAAGAATTGCCTACAATACTTATCAAAAATAAAGTCTCTCCCTGACACATTAAATCAGAGTCTCTGGGAAGTTCAGGAACCATTATACTATGCTGTATAAAAATAGCTTTGGCATTGGCTTTGTGGAGGAGATTTTAAGTCTTTGGAGTATTGGAAGGTGAGCTACATTTAAACATCTTTAAACCAGTAGGCTGCTGTAAAGAAAAGCAAACAATCAATAACAAAATATTGCAATTTAAAAAATAGTGCTGATCTTTTTGAAAGGATGGGACTGTCAGCCTTTTTGGTTATCCATATGATATAGACCAATGAATTACCTCAATTCAGATTTTATTTTCTTCATCTGTACCTTCCTTTGTCTTTTAGGAACAGCACTTGTCCTGGCCAGGTTACCATTGGATAAGATTACTGAATGTCTTAGTGAACTCTGTTCTGTTCAGGTTCTGGCATTGAAAAAGGTGAGTTCAGTTAAGTAAGAGGGTGAAACAAATTAAGATGTTTACATGTTAGAAAGGGAAGGACAAAATCCATTGACATTTGATCTTTTATCTATCTATAAAAGCTAAGAGAATGAACTGATAAGTTATTAAAATTAATGTCTGTCGAAGTAGCTACATACACAGAATAAGTATATAAAAACCAGTAGATTTCACTATATCCGTAATATCATTTAGAAGATATAATGGGAAAAATACCATTCAGGTTAACAGGTTTCCTTGAAGAATATGTAAGGATGGCAGTTCTTCTCAAATTACATCTATAGTGCAATAATAGTGAACATACCAGTAGTATTTTTAGAACATGACACAATGATTCTAAAGTTTATCTCTAATGACATGCTGGTGGAAATATGTAAGAAACTTTAGGAAAGAATAAGGGACAACCTGCCTTACCTCTTAAAATATATTATAAAGCTCTAATGGAATGTGAATATAATATAGATTATGTAATACATAATATATGTAATCTTTTTTAATACATAATTTATGTCTCGATCATAATATATGTAATATTTATTTTAATATATAATTTATGTTAAATTATATAATGTCTCAATCGTAATAAAAGTAAATGGAAAAAAATTAAATGATGTTTTCCACTCCACCATGATTATATATTAAAACGTTAGTAATATGTAGTCTTGGCCAGAATGCAATGAGAAGGATTAAAGCAGTTTGACAATATGAATTAAAAGTGTGCACCATTTGAGTAATTTACAAGAAATAAACAAGAGTTGAGACAGGCTGATGTATAAGGTTCTATGTTGCAGTGTTTGCTGTAGGTTTGTATCTGTAATGACTGGGTGTTAATGTCTGTCTCTTCAGCTCTTGTCTCAGGAGCCCAGCAATGGCATATCCTCAGATCCCACTGTGTTCTTAGATCGTCTTGCAGTGATATTTAGGTAAGAGGAGAGGCTCCAGATGCCTGACTTGGGTTAAAAGCACAAGTGAGACCCTTATGTATTAAAGTAAGCAAGTATTTTGTTCCCTCAAACTTCCAGCTATCTCCTGTAGTCTCCTTTGTCAAGAGACTTAATTAAGGCCATTGCATGAAATCTTAGGGCAAAGGCAAGGTCTAAGAACTTATTCTTGGTAGACCTTTGTCAAAAGACTCTTTAAAATGTGATTAATTTTTCTGGTCTTTAGATCAGTGATTCTCAAACTTTAACCTGCATCTGAATCGCCTGTATTAAAAACACAGATTGCTGAGACCCCACCCCCAGATTGTCTGATTAATTGGATCTTGGGTAGAACCCAAGAATTTACATTTTTAGTAAGTTGTCTGGTGGTGATGCTGCTGCTGCTGCTTGCTATTCAAGGACGACACACACTTTCAGGCACATTGTGTAGCATGTGTAGCATATGGGTACAAAACAATAATGAAATCTCTTCAGTGACCAGGCGAAATTAATCCTTTGAAATCAAGAGGAACCTAATGATTAAAAAGGGATTTTAAACATGCTCCTATGTGGTTTAGTTGGGTATCGTACCACAAAGCAAAAGGTTATGGGGTAAATTTCTGGTTAGAGCACACCCCGGGTTGCAGTTTCGGTCCCTGGTCAGGATGTGTACGAAAGGCAACCAATTGGTGTCTCCCTCCCTTCTCTCTCTAAAAATAAATAAAACCTTTTGTAAAAAAAGAAAGCAGAGGACTTTCAATTGAAATGGAGGCATAGGTAAACAGCTCACTTCCTCACACCACAACAAAAATTATAACTAAACTACAAAACAGTTATCACTCAAAAACGTCAGCAGTCAAGCTGTATGGAAGTCCCACAACCAAGGAATTCAAGAGATCACATTGATTCAAACAGATAGAGGGCTGGATATGAAGAATGGGCTAGTCCTGTAGTCACATGTGATGGATAAAAATCAAGAGGGACATCTCGGGAGGGAGGAATCCCAGCCCAGGGTTCCAGGGTGCCAGGAGGATAAGTTCCCATAATTTCTGGCTGTAAAGCCAGTGGGGGTGGGGGTGGCAGAGGAAACTGTGGGACTCTCAGGTGTCTCCTCATAAAGGGCCCACAATGGAATTACACACACTCAGTCCCTCTGGGCTCCAGCACTGGGGCAGCAGCTTAAAGGGCACCAGTGACATATGGAGAGGACCGAAGTGTCTTGCATCAGGCTTCCTCCTGGACAAAACTCCAGAGGCCAGGCAGGGGCCATTGTTCCTTTTCTGAGCCCTCCTCCACACAGAGCCGCAGTGTAGTGGCACCATATCTGAGACTCCATCAACCTGGTTCACAAAGTAAGCCCCACCCAGACAATTACCTAAGGGTCCACCCCAGCCAATTTACAGGCCCACCCAAGCAGTTAACAGTGGCTTTTCTACATTAGGCCATGTTACTAAGATACGGAGTCAAAGAAGCTCTACCTAACACATAGAAACAAACACAGGGAGGTTGCCAAAATGAGGGGACAAAGAAACGTGGCCCAAATGAAAGAATAGAGCAAAACTCCAGAAAGAGAAATAAACAAAATGGAGATAAACAATCTATCAGATGCAGAATTCAAAACACTGGTTAAAAGGATGCTCAGGGAACTCAGTGGGCACTTCAACAGCATAAAAAGACCCAGGCAGGAATGAAGGATATATTAACTGAAATAAAGAAGAATTTACAGGGAATCAACAGCAGAGTGGATGAAGCCAAGAATCAAATCAATGATTTCGAACATAAGGAAGAAAAATAACATAAGGAAGACATCCAATCAGTACCGCATGAAAAAAAGAATACAAAAAATCGAGGATAGTGTAAGGAGCCTCCGGGACAATTTCAAACATTCCACATTCGCAACATGGGGGTGACAGAAGAAGAAGAGGAAGGGCAAGACATTGAAAACTTATTTGAAGAGATAATGAAAAAAAACTTATGTAATTTGGCGAAGGAAATAGACATAAAAGTCCAGGAAGCACAGAGGGTCCCAAACAAGTTCGATCCAAAGAGGACCACGCCAAGACACATCATAATTAAAACGCCAAAGGTCAAAGAGACTCTTAAAAGCCGCAAGGGAAAAGCAGATTTTTACCTACGGAGGGGTTCCCATTATACTGCCACCTGATTTCTCGAAAGAAACTTCGCAGGCTAGAAGGGACTGCACGAAGTATTCAAGTGATGAAAAGCAACGACCTACAAACCTAAACTATTTTATCCAGCAAAGCTATATAGAATGGAAGGGCAGATAAAGTGCTTCCCAGAGAAGGTGAAGCTAAAGGATTTTATCATCACCAATTCATTATTATGTGAAATGTTAAAGGGACTTACTTAAGAACAAGAAGATCAAAACTATGAATGTTGAAATGGCAAGAGATTGACAACTATCAAAAACTGAATCTAAAAAACAAACTAAAACAAGTAGAACAGAAACAGAATCACAGATTTGAAGAACATTAGGGTGGTGGCCATTTGGGAAGGGTATATGGGAGAATGAGAGGGGAAAGGTGAAGAGATTAAGAAGTACAAATTGGTAGGTACAAAAGAGATGGGGGTTAAGAACAGTATAGAAAATTGAGTAGCCAAAGAGCTTGTATGCATGACCCATGGACATGAACTAGGCGGGGAAATGCTGTGTAGAGGGTACAAATGGGGGAAAACAGGGACAACTGTAATTACATAATGAAATATTTTTAAAATAGATTAAGAAAAGAGAATAACGGAAAAAAAATAAATGCATTTGAGTAACAATATTCAAAGAGGGATCCTTACTGAGTTACATAATTTGTAAGTTGTGAGACCCATAGGTATAACTGGAATATCAGAGTAATAGTTGCATAAAAGCTTTGTGGAATAGCTTAAAATAGGCATTGTTTTTAGCTAATCAGGTTTTTTTAATACCCACCAAAGGACATTTTTTTCCCATTGATTTAGAGAGAGAAGAAGGGAGAGGAACATCGATGCGAGAGAGTAGCATCAATCGATTGCCTCCCACATATGCCCAGACCAGGGATTGTATGTGTCCGGACCTGGGGCCATATGTGCCTACACCTGGACTGGGAACAAACCTGCAACATAGGCATGTGCCCTGACCGGGAATTAAACCTGTAACTTTTTGGTTTTGGGACAGTTCTCCAACTGGCTGAGCCACACTGGCCAGGGCAGCTTATTAGTTTTTGTCAATAGCTATCTTTTTATGAGTTGGCATGATGCTTTCCTTGTATAATGAGGGAGCCCTGTTGCATATGTTCTGACGACCTGTTAACAATAACCCTTATTTCACAATAAATGAAAGACAATCTGCAATAGACGGAATTGCCCAAATTTAAAGAAAAGTAGATTTTAATCAAATTGCTGTTAAACATTTTCTAATTAAATAATTTTTTTTTCTTTAAAGAGGTTGGTAGTTAATTATACAGTTGTTTTTTCCTGCTTTAAATTAGTGTATTCTATAACTAGACAAATAGTTGGATTTGACCTATTGTGCATAGGTACGTGCGTTGTGTGTCTCACTGGGTTCAGACCAGAATCATGGGCAACATCTACAGTAGACTAGAGTTCCTGAAACTTTTGACTTTTAATGCCGAGAATGGAGCAGTACTGTGTTTCTCATGGTGGATTCGGACAATCTATGTAATTTTTTATCAATTTGGAAGAGATTACATATTTAGGTTTATAAAGGGAAAATAATAAAAAGGATAGTCGTAGTGCCCCACATCCATAGCCCATGTATCCAGAGTTAGGTAGAGATTATGTGTTCTAGTGGATGTGGCTTAAAGGTGGCGATAAATGATAGGATGGTTTAAAAACTATTTGCTTGTGTTTGTTTAAATGAAATAGGAGGAAAAAGGTATTGAATATTAAAAATTACTGTCTGGTTTTTTAAATTTGATGAGACTGACACTAAGTAAGTTAACAGGGACAGGGCTGTGGGTCCTCAGTGAAATTGCTCTCCTTCCACTAATTTGGGCCATTGTCTTTCCACAGACACACCAATCCCATTGTGGAAAATGGACAGACTCATCCGTGCCAAAAAGTCATACAGGAAGTAAGTGTTAAGAGGTGCCTATGGAACAAGATTTCCTTCCTTTTTCTTTACAATGTTGTAACTAGAGTGGAAGGTGCTTTCTTCTAGATTCATAGGAAGATTTAATTTGTTGATATGGTTTAAATACCAGTGAAAAGAGGAATGGATCCATCCAAATAAATTTGAATTTTTTTTGAAGATTTTATTTATTTTTAGAAAGAGGAGAAGGGAGGGAGAAAGAGGGAGAGAGAAACATTGACGTGTGAGAGATATATCAATTGGTTGCCTCTCACATGCCCCTAACTGGGTACCTGGCCTGCAACCCAGGCCCTGACTGGGAATTGAACCAGTGACCTTTCAGTTTGTAGGCTGGCACTTAGTCCACTGAGCCACACCAGCCAGGGCTTAGTTTGTTTAAAGAAAACAGTCTGTAGGGAAATTTTGAAAGGCCAAAGATGTAGGGAGAGATTAACTGTGTGAAACCTAGAGGTGCTAGGAGACCTGATTAATACTAGCAGGGGTTTTTTTTGTTTGTTTTTTGTTGTGTTTTTTTTTTTAAACAAAGCTAGTTAACCTTCATGACTTTAGTTTCCCCATTGATAACATACATGCCTATGTTTTTTTCACTGAAGGTAATGTGAGGATCAAAGTACATGTTTTGAAGCATACTTTACAGTCTACAGCTGTACCACCCTCAATTTACCCAATCTCGTCTGATCTGGGGAGCTAATAAGCAGGGTCAGGCCTGGTTAGTACTGGATGGGAGAAGTCCTTTTCAGACTACAGGGCAGGGGGCACACCATTTATTTTTAAGTATTCAATGGTATCGAGTAATGCTATTTTCTTTGTTCTAGTCCTTGTGTTCAAGGTCTTCCACCTTCTTGAAACTGCCTTTAAATACTTCTTCTATAACGCATACTAATTCTTTCCATCCTAAATCAGGAAGTTCAAAGTTTAGGAAAATGTCTGTCTTTGTCTTTTATAAAAGTCAAACATTCTCCCCATCGAGTTCTAAAGAGTTGTCATGCTTCTATTAAGAAGTGGTTGTGTTTTGGTGATTAGTGTTTTGAATCTCTGCTCGTATATATACACACACTGGCCAGAAGCAAGCCCCATGTGTTCCTATAAATAAAGCTTTTCCAAGTTATTTGAAGGTCAAATCATATGTTACCAACTTGGGAACTTTTTTTTTTCAGCTTTTGTTCATTATTTTCTTTCTTGTGCTCTTTCACTTTTAACCCAGATATGGCCAGTTTTATCTGAAACTCTAAATAAGCACCGGGCTGATAATCGGATTGTAGAGCGTTGTTGCAGATGCCTCCGCTTTGCTGTTCGCTGTGTAGGCAAAGGATCTGCAGCCCTGCTGCAGCCACTAGTCACACAGGTAAGTTCTCCATGAGAGGAAAAATGCGAAGTTTACAGGATCTGAAATAGGAGCCTTTGGAACAAAAACTCTGCTGATGAAGCACTTTTGTATTTATCAAATACAAATGAAAAAATAATTTGCAAGTAATATATGGTGCCTGCGGTAGGTATATTGTTGTACAAGGGAAACAGCCTATATAACCTATTCTGTATAATGGTAGTCTAAATAGTGATACACCCAGTGTGTCATTAGGAAAAGAGAATGACTTTAATGCTCAGCTCTATATACTAATGCTAAGATTTTTACATTAATTTCCTTTTTAAAAATGTGGTGGGTCAGACTTCACTATTTCTTAGCCCAAAGGGATTTTTTTCTATCTTGACTACAGTTAGTTGTTCACGTAAGTGTATTAGTTGTCAAGATGTAAATTTGAGTCTTTTAATCATCAAGATTGATATGTAAGTAAGATGATATAACTTGCTGTATGAAGTGCTTTAAGATTATATCTAGAACTGCTCTCCATGAGACACCTATCAGTAGTAACTTAGTTCACTAAGTAATTTGTGTTGATGTTAACCTCGTCACAGGGCAGAAGTAGATTGAGGCAAGTGAGGTGCCTTCCGTGCAAAATTGAGAGCAGCCAATCCTACATTTGCAGGCCTCTGAACAAATGCCTTCTTAAATTTCGCACTCCTGCTGTGAGGAAAACTGCTAGACTACACCCACCCAACCTGAAGTGACTTTTTACCTGACAGGGTAGAGATTTTAAGTAGGCACACGTTCTCCCTGACGGTAAGTGCCATCTTAAAGTCTGTCTGCTGGTACTTCCACTCTTAAGGGAGCCTTCAGGCAGGGTCATGATAGTGCAGTATCCGTTGACACTTGCATGACCTTGCCTCCTTAAATTGTAGATTTGATTAAAGTTTAGGTATATATTTTAACAGAATTTTAATTATTAGTGATTTTCTATACTCTGAGTACAACAGCATATGTTTGCATTTTGGCTCTGTCCACCTCTGGTTAAGGGTCCCCTTCACTGCAGTATGTTCTGGGTACAATACAACTTGATTTAATGCCCCTTTGTTGTTGGAGGGTATCTCATGACTTTGATATGGTTTTTATTTATTCCTGCTAATTAAGTATGTGACCAGCTCAATAAAGTAGAGAAGCACCTTACATGGGAAGTATATTCTAAAGTCAGTCCATCGATAAGGATTTCCAGCCAAAATGGAGACATAGGTAAACGTACTTCACCTCTGCTCACAACTGCAGAAAAGATTTGCAAGTACAAAAAAGATAACACCTAGATTTGTCAGAAAATTGAGCTGTATGCAAGTCCGACAACCAGGGATTTAAAGAAGCCACATTGATCCAGGTGGGTAGGAGGGGCAGAGGCAGAGGTGCAGAGAGACACAGAAAGGCAGCAGAATGGGTGGTCCCACATTTACATGTGGTAGGCAAAAACTGGGAGGGAGCCCTGGCTGGTATGACTCAGTGGATTAAGTCCCAGTCTGTGAACCAAAGGGTTGCTGGTTCAATTCCCAGTCAGTGCACATGCTTGGGTTGTAGGCCAAGTCTCTAGTAGGGGGCACATGAAAGGCAACCACACATTGATGTTTCTCTCCCTCTTTTTCTCCCTCCCTTCCCCTCTGTCTAAAAATAAATAAATAAAATCTTCTTTAAAAAAAAATCAGGAGGGGTACCTTGGGAGCAAGCAGTTCCAGCCCTAGACTGGACCACCCAACCCAGGTCCAGTTATGAAGTCCTCATAATTTCTGGCTGCAGAAACCAGTGTGGAGGGGGCAGAAGGAACTGTGGAATTCTCAAGAGAATTCTCTTAAAGGGCCTGCAATGGACTTAGGACTCAACCAAACCCCCTCCCCCCGAGATTCAGCACCAGGGCAACAGCTGGAAAGGCACAAGTGGCATATGGGGAGAAAGGGAGAAAGTGAAGTGACTGGCAAGGGGATGAGTGATGGGGAGACAGCTTCTTGGGCAACCTCCAGAGGCCAGGCAGCGGCATTGACCCCTCTCTGAGCCTTCCCCCACACAGAGCCACAAAGCAGTGGAACAGGTTGTCTGGCCCTGGCAACTACCTAAGGCTCTGCCCATGCAATTTACAGGTGCCTTAGGCCATGTTACTAAGGGTATCAAAGCAGCTCCACGTAATACACTGAAACAAATGCAGGGAGCCTGCCAAATTGAGGAGACAAGGAAATATGGCCCAAGTGAAAGAACAGAACAAAACTCCAGAAAAAGAACTAAATGAAACAGAGATAAGCAACATATCAGATGCACAGTTCAAAATACTGGTTGCTCAAAGAAATCATTGAGCACTGCAACAGCATAAAAAAGACCCATGCAGAAATGAAGGTTGCATTAAGTGAAATAAAGAAAAATCCACAGGGAGCCAGCAGTGGGGCAGATGAAGCCGGGATTCAAATCAACGATTTGGAACATAAGAAAGAAATAAGCATTGAACCAGAATAGCAAGAAGAAAAAAGAATTAAAAATAAAAGGAATATTATACGGTTTCTTTGGGACATCTCCAAATGTGCTAACATCTGAATCATAGAGATGCTAGAAGAAGAGGAAAAGCAAAAATTTGAAAACTTATTTGAAAAAATAATGAAAGAAAACTTTCCTAATTCGGTGAAGGAAATAGACATACAAGTCCAGGAAGCACAAGCGAGTCCCAAACAAGTTGGACCCAAAGAGGACCACACCAGGACACATAATAATTAATACACCAAAGGTTAAAGATAAAGAGAGAATCTTAAAAGCAGCAAGAAAAAAAACAGATGGTTACCTACCAAGGAGTTTCCATAAGACTGTCAGCTGATTTCCCAAAAGGAACTTTGCAGCCTAGAAGAGACTGACAAGAAGTATTCAAAGTGATGAAAAGCAAGGACCTACAACCAAGATAACTGTATCCAGCAAAGCTATCATTTAGAATGGAAGGGTAGATAAAGTGCTTCCCAGACAAGGTAAAACAAAAGGAGTTCATCATCACCAAGCCATTATTATATGAAATGTTAAAAGGACTTATAAGAAAAAGATCAAAACTATCAACATTAAAATGGTGACAAAGCACAACTATCAAAAACTGAATCTAAAAAACAAACTAAGCAAACAAGTAGAACAGAAACAGAATCATAGATATGGAGGTCATTTGGTGGGTTATCAGCTGGGAAGGGGATGGAGGGGGATGGGGGAAAGGTGCCCAAATTAAGAAGTACAAATTGATAGGTACAAAATAGGGAGATATTAAGAACAGTATAGGAAATGGAATAGCCAAACAACTTACATGCATTACTCATGAGCTAAGGGAGGGGATTACTGGAGGGAATGGGGGTACCGAGTGGAGGGGGACAAAGGGGCAAAAAATTGGGACAATTATAAATCATAATAAAGTATATTTAAAAATAAATAAAATTCTGAAAAAATTAAAGCCCATGTGGCGAAAGTAAAAATTATTATCCCATAAATAAATAGAACCAATGGATCTGTAGTTTGTAAATAAATTTTAATGAATGATTGCCATGCTTATTTATTTAAGTATTATCTTTTGGCCATTTTTGTGCTACAATGGTAAAGTTGAATAGTCAGAGGATTGTATGGCCAGCAAAGCCTAAAATACTTACTATCTGGCCCTTTAAGAAAAAGTGTGCCAACCAGTGACTTAAATCATTATTCATTAAGTAGAAATTCGTATTTTTTGAGGATACGACACCAAATAAGTTCGTAGTTCTCATCTCATTCTCGTGCCATGGTGTATGCTAATAATAAGAGTCACTCTATCCTTCAGCCCCCCCTAAGTTTATAGAGTTGACTTTATATAGGATTAGTGCATGTGTGTTGTGATGGCTTTTTTTTTTAACCTTTATTAGTATTCATTTTATGCTGAATTTACTCCCAACTCATATACTTTTGTTTCTTCTGTTTCTTCTTGGATAGCTTTCTCTTCTCTGCAACTTCTTCTGGTTTAGGAACAATCTGCTCTTTTTCAGTTAGGATCATCTCAGTCTGGCAGGGAGAGCTCGTGTATGGGTTAACCTGCCCATGAGCTCTGTAAGTTCTGTGCTGCATCTTGGGAGCTGTGTTCACCTGGATGTGCTCAATGACTAGAGAATATACATCTAAACCCTTGAGCTCAGCATTACTGTGCATTTTTAAGCATGTACAACAAAAATTTAGCACTCTTTTTGGGCCACCAATCCTGTGTCCAGCCCTACTGTTTGGCCTGGTCACACCTACCAGCTCCACCATTGTAATGACAGAATGGCACACATGGCTTCTTTAAAGTGACATCCTTCATGTACTTGGTGGCTTTTTGAATATGCATGCCCTTGATTGCCTGGACAGTTTCATGAGTGTTCTTAAAGTCAAACACAAAGATTTGAACCTCTTGATTTGCATGATTTTCTGGGGTTTTCTGGGTCACGTGAATAGTGAAGCAGTTTCAGAGGTTACCTCTGGCCACAATCGGGAACATTTTTGGAGGATAGTAGGGTAAAAATCCCAAACAAATAATTTAAATATGTATATTATGTTAAAAATTTCTATTCTTTTGAGACTGGTACCTTGATTGGAAACACTTTTTTTTTTTTACTAAAAGATTAAATACAGGGTTTTAGGAGCAACTCAAAATTAAAACAATGCTTTCATAATCTTCAAGATGAGATCATTTGGTATTTTTGTTCCTGCTATGGCTATAGTAATTTAAAAATGAGAGCAACCATTAGATGTTAGAAGACTTGAGTATACTATGCTGTGGTTTTATAAATATTACACATACACAAGCCATGGATAAAATAATTCTTTAATGGCTTCCAATTAAATATTATACAGCTCTCTTACAGCATTGTTTTGGGAAGATAAAAGGTCAAAGGCTTGAAGTAAGTCTAAGTAAAGTACTTGAAAATTATTGAGAAATTGAGCCCTGTTTTGAAAAGCGTTAACAACAAGCTTTTTTATGTTATCTGAAATAGACCAGTTTGTCTCTAAATTTCTTCCTCCAGACAGCTTTCTAAGTTGATACTTACTGAGGGGTAAAGAGATGAACTAATTACTTCCCTTGGCAGATGGTGAATGTGTACCACATACATCAGCATTCCTGTTTCCTATACCTTGGCAGTATCCTTGTGGATGAGTATGGCATGGAAGAGGGCTGTCGGCAAGGATTACTAGACATGCTCCAGGTATGTTTTCTTCAGGAAGTATAGATGTGTTGGGCTTGGAGGGCCCAAAGGAGTAGCAGTGTGTTCTTTACCATGTTTTTAATTCTGTTGCTTCTTTATCTTTCTACCCCAGGCATGCTGATTTCCTAATAACAGGGAGATAGAAACTTCATAGCTCTCTGGACAGGCCTGCTTAGGAGAAAGAGAGATTGACCACACAAATGCTACAATTACTCCCTTATTTATGCTCTCCGGAAATAGGGTTTTGTGAGGGGTGGGGAGGTGGGCAAATGTATTTAAAGTAGAGGATCTCTAAGCACAAGCATGGTTCTATTTCTAAATTCTTGCCTGGAACAGCCATTTGAACTAGCTTACTTAGCAGGGATGGGCTTAGGGCAAATAGCAGGCAGTGGAAAAGCTTCCTGACGTAGTCATGGTGGGGTGAGAGGGGACATATTAGGGAGCTAAATTATGATGCTGCTTTTTCCCCAAATGTCTCTTCCCTTTTAAACTTCATCTATTATTTCATGTATTACTATTAAAACTTCATCTTTTCCCCTAGTGGACTGACCATATCTAAGCAGTCTTTACTCTCAGAAACTTCCAAAGCTGTTGAAATGACATCTTTCCACTTTCATCAGCTAAAATATGTACCTTCAACCCTTTCTGAAATGTGAATTGCATATGTGAAAACTGTTAATGCCAACTGAGAAAGATTTCTGTCTTCCTTTTCTTGATCTTATTCTTGTCATGGTCTTTCTCTTTTCTTGTCTATGCTTCCCCTCTTTGTTCCCTTTGTATATGTTGTGATATTTAGCAAGTCTGAGTGCTCTGGCATTTATATACAAGCATTTGTTTTAATTTCACTTTTGTTTTTAGGCACTGTGCTTCCCCACCTTTCAGCTCCTAGAACAGCAGAACGGGCTCCAGAATCACCCCGACACTGTGGATGACCTGTTCAGACTAGCCACCAGGTCAGTTCTTTCAAAGAGCAATCCTTTCTTTTATTGTTCATCCCCACCACTGCTTAGTTTTGTCACCTAACACCTGACCGTTTTCTTCTATTTGAAATGAAGTGAGTGGAGTACATACCTCTGAAGTTAAACTGAGCCAGAATATTTTTATAAGTGAGGAGGAGGAATTGGACGGGAACAGGAGAAAGTAGCTCAGTTCTATCATGAAGGAGGAAACATGCACATAACAATAAAAACGAGCGTGGTAAAAACATTTGACTAGATAATCGCTGAAGTCCCCTGTAGTTTTAACTCTGTGTGATGCTATGATGTCATGCTCCACCTTTTTCCCTGAGTAGCTTGGCATCCTTTAGATACAACTATATCTCAAAAATTTTAGGATTAAAAGGTGCCTTAGAAGTTATCTGGTGCTAAACTTCCCGAGCTCTGCCCCTACGCTGCAACCTTACCTAGTGCTTAAATTCCATTTACCAGTACACTGACATTACCGCCATACCTTTCAATTCCTTCCTAGTCCCTGGCTAAGGAATTTGAATCAAACCAGGTAGAGAACATAAAAGCATTAAAAAAAAAACCCTGTTATTAAATATGTATAATTATACAGGTAATATATTTTATCATTCACAAATGTAAAGTAGTACTGACTTGACTATTTCATCTCAGAATTGAACACTTTTTGTTAGTTTTTGGACAAGTTAGAAAAACCAATTTTTTCCCCCAGATGATACGGGTGAGTTATCAACCTCTGTTTTCCCAAGATATGTTCCTTGGAAAACTAGACCCTATAGATGTTCTTTGTACAAATGATTCACTGGTGAAATAAATTTGAAAATATATTGTATCTTTTTCTTAGAAATTCTCCGTGTATATTAAAGGATCTGAAAAACCTGTGGAAAATTGAGTGGAAAGTAATAGAGTTTTCATATACCTCCTGCTTCCCCACTATAAACCAGAGAGGTTTATTTGTTAAGAATTGATGAACCTACCTTGACACATTATCACCCAAAGCCCATAGTTTACATTAGGTTTTATTCTTGGTGGTGTACTTTCTACGGGTTTGGACAAATGTATAATGACATATCTCCACCATTATAGCATTGTACGGAGTAGTTTCACTACCCTAAAAATTCCCTGTGCTCCACCTATTCATCTCTTCCTCCCCCTCAAACCCTAGCAACCACTGACGTTTTCTACTTTCTCCATAGTTTTGCCTTTTACCATGGCTGCTTTTTTAGAGCCTTTTCCTGCCATTTATACCTAGCCTGTCTTTCCATCCAGGTTCATTCAGCGTAGCCCAGTTACCTTGCTGAGGAGCCAGGTAGTTATCCCTATCTTACAGTGGGCCATTGCCTCCACTACCCTGGACCACCGGGATGCCAACTGTAGTGTCATGAGGTTCCTGCGAGACCTTATCCATACAGGGGTAGCCAACGATGTAAGTATAAACATTGTACTTTTGTACTTTGCACCTCATTCTCTTTTCAGATCGCTTCCTCATTTCCTTGGCTGTTTCTGTCTTTTTTGATCTGTATTGGTTAGGTCTATACCAAATTGGACCAGTCACTAACCTAAAGTGGTTCATAAAGATTTCAAAGGTAGATTTGCCTAGATGTAGAGTAGAATTGAAGGTGAGGGACAGCAGTGAAGAAGTAAGCAAGTATGTGAATAGGCTGATTATTATTACGAAGTTTGGTAGTAAAAGGAGAGGGAAAAAGGAAAACTAGAAGATAAAGCCATTTAGAAGTGAATGGCAGTTTTTTAAAGTTATTTTTTTCAAGATGTTCGAAATATATTTATATTCAAAGACTGTAAGAAGAAAGAAAATATTTTTTGATACCAAAATTATCTGATAGATGTCCTAAAGAATTTCAGTTGGTTTTAAAAAGGAAATAAGGATACTTTGTTATTTTTCACAGAAAAAAAGATTTAAAAAATTGCTGTACTTAATCTTTATTAATTTTTATTAAAAAAAATTTTTTTTTTTACATTCCAGAGAGAAGGGAAGGGAGGGAAAAAGAGAGGGAGAGAAAGATTGACGGGTTGCCTCTTGCATGCACCCCAGCTGGGGGCCAAACCCACATCCTAGCCATGTGCCCTGATGGGGAATTAAACCTGCACCTGATCTTTCAATATGCAGGGCAACACCCAGCCAACTGATTCATACCAGCCAGAATGCTATCCTTAATCTTTAACCATTGTGTCTCTTCTTCCTTTTATTCATGAAAAATCTAAGAGTTAATCTCAGCTGAAACTCATGCCTATTTTCTTGATAATAAACTCAGTATTTTCTTCCTAATGACTAAACATTTAGTATACTTTGCGATTCCACCTTCTTTATAATATATATACTTTCTTCCCTGGGAGAAAAAAATTGCTAGACCAGAGATTTTCAACCTTTTTCATTTCATGGCACACTTAAACTAATTCCTAAAATTTTGCTGCACACAAAAAATATATGTTTTTCGCCAGTCTGACAAAAATAAGTATAATTTTGATTCATTCACACCATATGGCTATTGTTGTATTGGCCGTTGTCATTTTTTTTTATTTTATTTTGTTATTTTATTTCATTGATTATGCTATTACAGTTGTCTCAATCTTTCTCCTTTTCCCCCTTCTACCCAGCACCTCCCGCTCCCTGCAGTGATTCCCCCATCCTTTGTTCACGTCCATGGGTCATGCATACTAGTTCTTTGACAACTCCATTTACTATACTTGCTCTTAAAATCCCCCTGCCTATTCTGTAACTACCAGTTTGTACTTCTTAATTCCTATACCTTTTCCCTCGTTGCCCCAGACCGCCCTCCCCACTTGCCACCATCCCAGTGTTCTCCGTTCTGCTTGTTTAGTTTGTTTTTTAGATTCAGTTTTTGATAGTTGTCAATCTATTGCCATTTCAACATTCATAGTTTTGATCTTCTTGTTCTTAAGTAAGTCCCTTTAACATTTCACATAATAATGAATTGGTGATGATAAAATCCTTTAGCTTCACCTTCTCTGGGAAGCACTTTATCTGCCCTTCCATTCTATATAGCTTTGCTGGATAAAATAGTTTAGGTTTGTAGGTCGTTGCTTTTCATCACTTGAATACTTCGTGCAGTCCCTTCTAGCCTGCGAAGTTTCTTTCGAGAAATCAGGTGGCAGTATAATGGGAACCCCTCCGTAGGTAAAAATCTGCTTTTCCCTTGCGGCTTTTAAGAGTCTCTTTGACCTTTGGCGTTTTAATTATGATGTGTCTTGGCGTGGTCCTCTTTGGATCGAACTTGTTTGGGACCCTCTGTGCTTCCTGGACTTTTATGTCTATTTCCTTCGCCAAATTACATAAGTTTTTTTTCATTATCTCTTCAAATAAGTTTTCAATGTCTTGCCCTTCCTCTTCTTCTTCTGTCACCCCCATGTTGCGAATGTGGAATGTTTGAAATTGTCCCGGAGGCTCCTTACACTATCCTCGATTTTTTGTATTCTTTTTTTCATGCTGTACTGATTGGATGTCTTCCTTATGTTATTTTTCTTCCTTATGTTCGAAATCATTGATTTGATTCTTGGCTTCATCCACTCTGCTGTTGATTCCCTGTAAATTCTTCTTTATTTCAGTTAATATATCCTTCATTCCTGCCTGGGTCTTTTTATGCTGTTGAAGTGCCCACTGAGTTCCTTGAGCATCCTTTTAACCAGTGTTTTGAATTCTGCATCTGATAGATTGTTTATCTCCATTTTGTTTATTTCTCTTTCTGGAGTTTTGCTCTATTCTTTCATTTGGGCCACGTTTCTTTGTCCCCTCATTTTGGCAGCCTCCCTGTGTTTGTTTCTATGTGTTAGGTAGAGCTTCTTTGACTCTATGTCTTGGTAGTGTGGCTTAATGTAGTAGTTGTCCTTCAGGGTCCAGTGGCACAGCCCTCCTCTATCATCCAGGCTGGGTACTCTTACTAAAGGTGCGCCTTCCATGTGGCTGGAGAACACTCTCCTCTTGTAGATGAATTTTGATAGCTGTCAGCAGGTCAATGGGAGGGATTTATCCAGTCCAACCACCTGGTAGGACTGGCTGTGACCCCTGGCCAGCAACCACCTCCCTCTGTTGCTTGTGTAGGTGGTTGGGTGGTGCTCTGACATGGTCTATAACTGTCCACTGTGTGTGCAGGCTCTGGGGTTTCCGTGGTGGTACAGGCCAAGGTCAGCCTCCACATGTGTTCTGTCTGGGGCCCCTTGGTATAAGCTGTAAAGCCATCTGTACATGACTGCTGCTAGTGCAGGGCCTGGGGCCAGTCAATGAAAGGTACAGGGGCTGGGCTCGGCTGTTGCTTGTTTGAGTGGATTTAGGGAGGTCTGAAGCCTGTGCCTAGCTCAGGCCTACATATGGCGAAACCACTGTTACCAGGGTAGGAGGATTGCTTGAATGGGCCCGTAGCTGGATGGGGCAGATCCTAAGGTAATGGTCAGGGCGGGGTTTACCATATGAGCTAGGTTGATGGAGATTCAGATATGGTGCCTCTGTACTATGGCTCTGTGTGTGGCTCAGAAAAGGTACAATGACCACTGCCTGCAGTTCTGTCTGGGAGGAAGCTGTCCCTCAGCTCTTACCCTGTTGCCAGATGCTTCATTTCCTCCCTGTATGTCACTGGTGCCCTTCAAGGTGCTGCCCTGGTGCTGGAGCCCAGAGGGAGTGAGTCCATGGAAGGCCACGTGCAATGTGAGGCCCTTTAAGAAAAGAGGCCTTAGAATCCTGCAGTTTCCTCCACCAGTCCAACCCCCCACTTGCTTTTACAGCCAAAAGTTATGGGAACTTATCTTTCTGGCACTGGAATTCTGGGCTGGGTGGTCTGGTGTGGGCCTGGGATCCGTCACTCCCAAGATATCCCTCCATTTTATATCCACCGTATGAGGGTTTGGGACCAGCCAATTCCCCAGTTCTGTGTCTCCTGCTCTGTCCCCCAATCCCCCCTACACAACTGGATGAATGTGGTTTCTTTAATTTCTAAGCTGTCACACTTCCATACAGCTCGATTTTCTGACGATCCTGAGTGATATTTGTTCTGTAGTTTAGCTGTAATTTTGCTGTGGTTGTGCAAGGAGGTGAGCTGCATTTACTTATGCCTCCATCTTGACTTGAAGTTCTCATTTTTTATTTCACAACCTAAGGGAAAAGAAGTCAGTGCCTGACTAAATAGTCAGGTAATGAGTGTTTTAAAAATTCTTGTGGCACACTGGTTAAGAAGTGCTGCACTAGATTAAAGGGAAAAGAGTATTTGGTATTTGGGATGTTGAAATTAGAGCTTATCCATTGCTCCTGTTTTCTTATAGCATGAAGACGACTTTGAATTACGGAAAGAACTGATTGGACAGGTGATGAACCAGCTTGGACAGCAACTTGTGAGCCAGCTGCTCCACACGTGCTGCTTTTGTCTCCCCCCATACACCCTACCAGATGTGGCTGAAGTGCTCTGGGAGATCATGCAGGTTGACAGACCGGTAAGATTTTTTTCATAAGGAACCTATTTCTCCCAGTCCTAAACTATAGTTGGTTTCCTTCAACCAACTATAACTTTGAAACTAGCCCTGTTTTACATCCATGAAACCTATTTTAGGCATATTGTTAAGTTTAATTGTTAGAAGAAGGGGCCTGTATGAGGCCATTAATTTATCACTGGGTTCTTAAGGACATATATTTGTCATGTCATAGGGCTTACATATTACCAGAAGTGAATACTAAGCTTTGAATTCAGCTCTTTGGTGGCCATCCAGTGAGAGATTGGTTCACTTGTGGGAATGCCCAAATATCACTTGTATAGTATTACAGGTTATTCAGGAAGTGTTAATTCATTTCATGCTCCTTAGATAATAGCGTATGGTTCCCTGGTAATCAATCTAGTCAGAGCATTTGGAGGCAGATAGATAGAAAACTCGTCCAAAATATATACTGGACTTTCTTTCCTCATTGGATTTATTTGCTTCCTATCTTTATTCTTAAGCCAAGTTCTTTGTTACCTAAGCATGAAGAATTTTTTTAGGCTATCCAGTAATGTCCAAAAAATTTCAGTACTGGGCCCACGTGATCATAAATCAGGTTATGTATACTGCATGAAAGTTTTGAGCATAGTGATAAAGTATTACATAGCCTGTAAATTATTTTTAAAATAGGATTTATAATTTTTAATGTTAATATAAAAACAGGTCCCAAAAGTACACAGTTGGATCTAAAGTGAGCTGTCTTCCAGAATAGAATAATCCAGATATACAAGTATCTTACAGTTTTGAAGTCCATGTATATCTTAACATTATGTCCTGCCGTGTAGCATTGATGGCAGTTCTTAGCCTCAATTTCACCAGTTTCACAAAAGATAGTTCACTCTTACAATTAGACTCTAATATGATTGAGCCAGAATTTCTGCCTGTTCATCTCCAAAACTCAGTAATTAGTGTCTTCTGTGGTGTATTCATCTCCAGAATTCAGTGATTGTCTTAGTAGCATATACTTTACTTGATCTTTGGCTCAAACAAAAAACAGTCAAATGTAGGACAGATGCTTAATAGATTTCTTATACTTTAATTAGGTTTATACTTCAGAAACAACCACATGTACTTTAATTCTTACATATCAAACTCTGTGAGGCTCATTTGTGACTTGTTTTATCAAATAGCTCTGCAGTTCTTCCATAGGAGCTCAGGTGATACAGGAATAAGTTGTACCAATGGGTACCCATTGCTGGTTTTTCAGTACATATGTTCTCTTTCAGTCTAGTACAGAAGGATTTTTGTGTTTTCCTAAAGAAGGTACTCTGTGAGCCTGGGGATCAACAACTTTAATTGCAAAAGTCTTTGACATAAATAAAATTTCCATACTTTTTCACATTTTTACAAATATACTTGGTTCCCAGGTAACAGAAGGCATTATATAAATTTGATTTTACAAAAAACATTCTTGAATTGTAAACATATAGTTAAGTGCTAACAAGAAGGAAATGAGAACAGCAGGTTTGGACAGGAACAGAAACCAGGTAGCCATGTGCTCTTAACAGTTTGCTTATTACCCACAAGATGTTAAGCAGTTTAAAGTGATGATTTTTGTCCTGGCTGGTGTGGCTCAGTGGATTGAGCATCAACCTGTGAACTGAAAGGTCTCTGGTTTGATTCCCAGTCAGGTCACATGCCTTGGTATGTGGGCAGGTTCCTGGTTGGGTACATACGAGAGACAACAGATCAGTGTTTTTCTCCTCTTTGTCCCTCCCTTCCCCACTCTCTAAAAATCAATAAATTTTAAAAAAGAAAAAAGCAATAAAGTGATGGTTTTCTATAAACATCAACTGTTGCTGAGTTTATGTAAATTCTTACATAAATTTGGGTTGTCTATATCCTATAAATAAACTGATTGAAACTTTAATGAAGGATTTAAGTCCAAGGAAACTTTACATTCTTGAGTACTTTCTTAATCATGCAGTTTTCAAAGTTCACAAAATTTTCAATAGAGGATGACATACCAGCTTTGTCTCTTGAGTGAGCTATTAAAGCTCTTTCCTCTGTTCCCCCTTTCCTCCTTGGATACCCTCCCCACCCTGTGACAAATTTATTCAGTATTTTCAACCTAACTTCTCAGACTTCCTTTACTAAAAGATGGCAGGGCTCATTATATGCTAGCTAATTAATTTCTACTTTCTAGTTTAGTTTCTTAATGTTTTTATTGGGAGGAGGAGATACTATAGTTAACTTTTAAGTGGTTTTTGGATACCAAAACTTTGTCATTTAAGGATTCTTCCTGAATCTTTTGCCCCTGCTTGTGTTTTTTGTTTGAGTGTTGTCTTCCTTGAGGGAAACATTTGGAAGATTACGCAGCACTTTTTCTTTTTCTTTCTTTCTTTCTTTTTTTTTTTTTTTTTTTTTTTTTGAGTAAGGAAAGGTTTACTGATGGAGAAGGTGCTAACCAAGAAGATGGGAGACTTAGTGCTGTCTCAAATCCATCTTAAGAACGTGCAGAGTTCAGGCTTCTTGGATGTCAAGTGAAGGAGAAATGGGGAGGAGGCGGCAAGAGGGTATTGTGGACCACAGGCACCTGGGCTCCAGCAGGGGTCCAAGGAAGATTGTAAACACTTTTTTGTTCTTGGTCTATTAACTCTAGTTGATGGGAGTCCTATCACAAGCTTCTTACAAATAGTTTTGAATTTCCTGTACATGAGGGTTTATTGCACATGTTTTCTGTATAATCTAGTCCAATGGCACAGATTCTAGTGGTCTCATCACATCCTTATTGATGATAACACTGTTGGCAGGAAAACCAGCACCAGGTGTTAGACTGGTAGTCGGAGCAGACCTTGGGTTCAAACATAACCTTAGTACTTGAGTTTTGGCTAAGAAAGGATTCAGATCCAAGACGCATACTATAAGAGAAAGTTTATGTAGAAAGTCACAGAGGTAAAAGAAATGAGCTGTAGAAGAAATGGGCTCCAGAAAGCAAGTTAGAGAGACAAAGCAAAAGAAGGGCCCTTGGAGCTTAGGAGGAAAAAAGGTAAAGGTAACGTGCCTAGAGGGAGAAACGGGTTAGGATAAAGGCACAGACGTCCTCCCAGGAGGGAGCGTGCACCATCATGCAGTATTTTTTAAGCATTTCTAATAGAATACTTACATTTGCTCTGGACTGTTTTCATAAATTAACAATGGGAAAACATAATGTAAAAAAATTACCTCAAAACTATAACCAAAGTATAGATTCTACTTAAGAAAGGCATGAAGCCCTGGCTGGTGTGGCTCAGTGGATTGAGCACTGGCCTACAAACTGAAAGGTCCTGCTTTGGTCTCCAGCTTGATTCCCTGTCAGGGCACATGCCTGGGTTGTGGGCCAGGTCCCCAGTTGGGGGCGTGCGAGAGGCGACTGATGGATCTTTCTATCGCACGGCAATGTTTCTCTCCCCATCTTTCTACCTCCCTTCTCCTCTCTCAAAAAAGAAATAAAAATAAAATCTTAGAAAGACATGAAGAAAAAGTAGAACTGGCTCAAAGAACAATTCAACTGAAGATAAGAAACCAGAAGTCTCCAGAATTTTGATTTTTAGTTTGACAAGGAAGGAAGGAGAGTGAGGGCAAGCAGTTTTTGTGCATATGAAAGGTATAAAGAGATCTTGTTTGAATATAAATAATTTCAATAGCAACAAGAGTGAACAGAAAAACTTTCTAACCCAAAGAACTGGCAGTAACACAAAGGAGCTTACTGATATGACCTCTGCTGAGAAGGATGACCTTAAAATCCTTAAATTTCTGGATTCATATTACATACATACTTTTTTTGACATGTTTATTTACTATACTTTTTGTCCCTACTCTCTCTGGTACCTGAACCTCTGCTTTGAATTGCCTTTGATCTTTATGCTCAAGAGTTTTCTGGCAGCTATTTAATTTTTTTAAGTATTACATGAGTTTAATGACAGGAACAGAACAATAGTCTCATCCAGAAGAGACTTCCTTTCCAAGATACAAGGCCCTTTCTGAAACGATGCCTGTGGCCTCTTTGAAAGGAAGGCAAGGCGTGCCTTTGTAGCCAATTCCAACCCCTGGAGGGTTGGAAGGCCTCAAGGCAGTACTTCTTAAATCTTTGTACTTGCTTCTAAGTCTGGGGGAACTAATGCTCAAGGGAAACCTGCGGGGTTTTGGTATTACCTATAGAGTCACAGTTGAATAAGCCCTGCCTCCTTTAAAAACTCGTATTCCTCTTCTTGGTACAGACTTTCTGTCGATGGTTAGAGAATTCCTTGAAAGGTTTGCCAAAAGAAACAACTGTGGGAGCTGTCACAGTGACACACAAACAACTAACAGATTTCCACAAACAAGTCACTAGGTGAGTGATGGGTTTTTTTGGTTTTTCTTTTTAAGGAATATGAATAGCAGTTGGGGTATGTAGAAAAAATATATCTCTGTTTCTTATTACCACCTTAGTTACAGATCTGCCCAGGAGTATGTTTCTTGTGTGCCTTTGTGTATTCACAATTTAATGTCTGTGCAGCCTTGAATTGCACAAATTGTCATTGGAAACAAGTCTTGGGAAAAATACCACCATGCAGTATATATGTGTGTCATTTTTATTGTACATCTGCATTAACTGTTACAAGATCTTAATGAGTAAGTGGAAGCAGTATTTCTTCCAAAGGAAAAATGCACTGAGTAGCACACTACCCTCGAGGTCTGGTTTTTATATTTTGAAGTCCTTCTCAATTCTCATTTGTATTTAGGAATCAAGAATGCAGGTGCCTGAATAGGCGAAGCATTGGTTGTAAAACATGGAGCAATGTAGACTGCAGTAAATTGGAAGGTTTTTGTCATACCTAAAGATACTCAAATTCTAATTTCATGCAGACCAAATATAACATTTCTCTGGGATGCCTTAGGCCTATGAACTATGAACCACTTGCTTACAACTCAGTTAAAATGTTAAGTGTAGCCTGGCTGGTGTGTGGCTCAATGGATTGAGCACTGGCCTGCGAATCAAAGGGTCGCCAGTTCTGTTCCCAGTCAGGGCCTGTGCTTGGACTGCAGGCCAGTCCCCAGTAGGGGGTGCATGAGAGGCACCACACATTGATGGTGCCTCTCATTGATGGTGCCTCTCTTTAATATCCCTTCCCCTCTGTCAATATATACATACATAACTCTAAAAAAAAAAAGTGTTAAGAATACATAAGAGTTTTACTGTTAACAAAATAAACATTTTATATAGCTTTCTAATTACTGAGCTATAAAGGTATTGCTTGATTTCCTTACAGTACCTCTATTAGTAGTAAACATTTGGTTTGGTTTTGTTTGTTTATTTTTTTTTTTCAGTATTATATAGATAATAAGAAAAGTCTAGCCTTTTCCTTCTTTTGACCATTTTCATTAAAATCACTGAATCAATTATGAGACTTTTCTGGTCCTTGATAATATTAATGACAGCAAATTAAATTGGATTTTGTCTGTTGCCTTGTCCTGATATATCTTTTTGTGTCTAGAGTCTTTAGAATTTTGACTAAATTATAGGCCATAGCGTATAGTCATACAGTGTGAAGTGATGTATAGGTCCAAGAATAAGTGTTGCAGCAAGGTTGATAAGAGTGAAAAAAAATGGAAATAATCCAATTGCCCAACAGTAGAGGACAGTTATATAATCAACAGTATCTTTATACTAATAAGTAGGCACTTAAAAAAAAAAAGGAAAAGAATGCATATGACACAGAAAAATAAGATATAAGGGGGGGAAATAACAGTATCATATAGCCCAACTTGCACTTAAATTTTTTTTAATTGTGATGAAATACACATTGAATTTATCATCTTAGCCATTTTAAGTGTACTGTTCAGTAGTGTTAAATACATTCACATTGTTGTGAATCTAGAACTTTTTCCATCTTGCAAAACTAAAACCATATACATTCTCTGCTCTCCACTGTCCCAGCAAACCGTTGTCCTAATTTGTTTCTTTAAAAATTTGACGACTCTAGATACTTCATTTAAGTGAAATCATACAGTATTTATGTGTCTTCTTATGGCTTGCTTAGCATAATGGCCTCAAGGTTCATCTGTGTTGACGCATGTGTCAAAATTTTTGAAGACTGAATAACATTCCATTGTATGTACATACCCTAATTTATTCATTCATCTGCTGATACATATTTGGATTGCTTCCACCTCTTGGCTATTGTGAGTAATGCTGTAAACCTGGGTAGGCAAATATCTCAAGACTCTGCTTTCAGTTCTTTGGGAAATGTATCTGGACATGGAATTGCTTCATTATGTGGAAATTTTATTTAATTATTTGAGGAACCTCCATACTGTTTTCCATAGTGGCCATTTTATATTCCCACCAACAGTGCACAAGGTTCTCATTTCTCCATTATCTATTTGTGTTTTTATTGCTTTTGCTTTTGGTGTCATATGCAAGAAATCACTATGAAGTCCTGTGTCATGAAGCTTTTCCCCTATGTTTTCTTCGAAGAGTTTTATAATTAAAACAAGACCCAGTTTTTAAAAGTGAGAAAAAATAAATTTCAGGTAATGGTACAAGAGCTAATCTTCTTTTCTAAGAATTGATTTCTTAATGTCTTTTTTTTCCTTCTCTTTTTATTTATTTTTTAATTTTTTTAATCATTTTTTATTTTTCGATTATACTTGACATAGAATATTATATTGGTTTCAGGTGTACACTGCAGTGATTAGATGTTATGTAACTTATTAAGTATTAAGTGATCATCACAATAAATCTATACCCATCTGACACCATGCATAGTTATTAGAATATTATCGACTGTATTTCCTATGCTGTACTTTACATCCCCATGACCAGTCTGTATCAACCAATTTGTACGTCTTAATTCCTTCACCTTTTTCATCCATTCCCCCACCTCCTCTCTCTTCCAGCAACCATCACAATGTTCTCTGTATGTATGAATTTGTTTCTGTTCTGCTTGTTCATTTATTTTGTTTTTTAGGTTCTATTGTTGATAGATGTGTATTTATTGCCATTTTATAGTTCATATTTTTTTATTTTATTTTTCCCTTTCTTAAAGAAGACCGTTTAACATGTCATGTAATACTTGTTTGGTGGTGAACTCCTTTGGCTTTTTCTTGTCTGGGAAGCTCTTTTTATGTCCTTTGATTCTGAATGATAGCTTTGATGGGTATAGTAATCTTGGTTGTAGATCCTTGCTTTTCATCACTTTGAATATTTCTTGCCACTCCCTTCTGACCTGCAAAGTTTCCATTGAGAAAGCAGCTGACAGTCTTATGGGAGCTCCCTTGTAGGTAACTGCTTTTCTCTGGCCACTTTCAAGATTCTCTCTTTGTCTTTAACCTTTTGCATTTTAATTATGATGTGTCTTGCTGTGAACTTCTTGGGGTTCATCTTGTTTAGGACTCTGTGCTTCCTGGACTTGTATGTCTATTTTCTTCACCAGGTTAGGGAAGTTTTCAGTCATTATTTTTTCAAATAGGTTTTCAATTTCTTGCTCACTCTCTCTTCTCCTTCTGGCACCCCCAAGATGCAAATGTTGCTATGCTTGAAGTTGTCCCAAAGGCTCCTTACAGTATCTTCATTTTTTTGGACTTTCATCTTTTTGCTCTTCTGATTAGGTGTTTTTTGCTTCCGTACATTCAAAATCACTGATTTGATTCTCATCTCTTCTCCTGTTGATTCCATGTAAATTGATTTTTTACTTTAGTTAGTGTATCCTTTGTTTCTGCTGGTTCTTTTTTATGGTTTCTTGTTATGATTTTTTTTTTTTCATGCTGTTGAAGTTCTCAATAAGTTCCTTGAAGTTTTCTCCAAGTCCTTGAGCATCCTTATAACCATCGTATGAACTCTGTATCTGGTGGTTTGCTTGCCTCCATTTCATTGAATTCTTTTTCTGGAGATTTTTTCCTGTTCTTCCATTTGAGACCTGTTTGTCTCCACATTTTTGGCTCTTTCCCTAGGTTTGTTTCAATATATTAGGTAGAGCTTTTGCATCTTCTGGACTTGGTAGAAGGGGCACTGCTGCAGCCTTCCCAGTCACCCAAGCTGGCTGCTCCAGGTGTGCTCCCGTGTGAGCTGTATGCAGTGTCCTGTTGTAGTTGAGCCATGATTGCTGTTGGCATCACTGGGAGGGATTGACTCCTAAGCTGATCCGCTGTGAGGACTGGCTGCAACTCTGGCAGAGGAGCTGCTGTGCAGGAGTCGACTCTACAGAGCAGGACTTGCTTCAGTGCGGCTTTGGTGCTTACTGAGTCCACCCCTTGAGTGTGCCACTCGTGGAGGTGGTAAGGTTTTAAGCTAGTGTGGTCTGAAGCTGTCCACCAGGTGCACTGGCTCTGAGCCCTCCTGGCAGGTACAAGGTCAGCCACCACCTATGCCTTCCCCGGGGCTGCCTGACATGAGCTCCAGAGTGATCTGTAGATGGCTGCTAGTTGTGCTAGGCTTAGAGGTGACCAGGAGAGGCCAAGGTGCGAACCAAGGCTAGCTCCCGTTAGTGCTGGGCCTGTGGCCACTTAGCAAGAGGTACGGGGGACGCAGAGGCGAGATATTGCTTATTTGAGAGATTTTAGGAAACTTTGAAGCATGAGGCAAGAGAGGCCATTTGTGTGGAAAAGCCACTGGAAATAGCTTGGGTGAGCCCACAAGTTGGGAGCAGCAGGGTCTCAAGGAATCACCAAGGCATGAACAGTGGGAACCAGGTTGATGGAGACTCAGGTATGGTGCCTGCCTGCTGGCTATATGGGGGAAGGCCTCAGAAAAGGAACAATGGCTTCTACCAGCACTTTTGTCTGGCAGAAAGCTGGCTGCCCAGCTCTTGCCCTGATGCCAGATAATTCAGTTCCTCCTCATATGCCCCTGGTTCCTTTTAAGCTCCTTCCCCAATGCTGGAGCTCAGAGGGAGTGAGTCAGATTAAGTCCATGCTCAGGCCCTTTAAGAGGAACTGCCTGGGACTCCAGGAGCCCTCTCTCTCTCTCAGTCTCAATCCCTGCTGGTTTTTACTATCAGGAGTTATGGGGACTTTGCCTCCTTGCCCTGGAACCCTGGGTTGGGAGGGCTAGTGTAGGACTGGGGCTCCTCAAGAGAGGCAAGGATCTTTGAAGGTGAGATTCCACTCCCAATTTTTATCTGCCACACATGGGTGTGGGACCAGTCCAGTCTGTCTCTATCCCTCCTACCAGCTTCGATGTGGCTTCCTTAAATCTCTAGTTGTAGGACTTCCATTGAGCTGCATTTCAGGCAATTCTGAATGTTTCTGTAGGTTAGTTGTAATTCCGATGTGGTTGTGGGAGGCTTTGAGTACTGCATTTACCTCTGTGACCATCTTGATAGGAAGTATTAATGTCATTTTTCAAATTAGTTTACTTTCTCATCTCCCAGAATGTCTCCAGTAATTTTGTTAAGGTTAAAATCCCAGACCTTTGAGTACTGTTTTGTAGTTTACTAAGTGGCTTAATTTCATGTTTCAGAAGGAACTGACTTTTGGCCATAGATCAAGTGACATGCATGGCTGGAAAATAGCATGTGACTGCCTGCCTTCGCTACACATTTTGCCAGAAGAGGGGATTTCCCATCTACTGAGGAGGCATCTGTTGACTGGGATAACCTTAGAAAATTAATTTTATTTATTTTTACTATGCATCTTCCCAGAAGTAATATTCCACCTACAAGGTATTTCAGAGGAAAGAAGTGTAACGGTTACTTTTCTCTGCTTTTATTTTGCTCTGTTCCACCTAGTGTTGGTCAGTAGAGTGGCAAGGTCCTATTGACTGATTTCTGCAGAGCAACTGGGAGCCTGGGGAGAACCCATAAAGGACTGGGCTTAGAGCCAAGTTTGTTGGTTTGAGTCTTGCCACTTACTGGCTATTACTTTGAACTTATTCATCTGTAAAATTGGGTTATTAATACCTCTCTCATAGGGTTATTATGTGATAGCAAGTGAAAATCTAGAGATCTGGCATATAGTAGGTGATCAGCGAATGTTCACTTTCTCCTTGGAAAAGAATCTGCCAGAACGTCATTATGTACTTACAGAACTAGCTGGGGCATGTTTCCTGCCAGCTTTATGGCAGCCACCCACTTACTGTGGAGTAAGTCTCCACCAAACCCATATTCCTTCACCTGGGCTAATAGATGACAGGTAGAACAGTAGAGTGAGTCTGAAATAAAAGCTATAGACATTCCCTAATTTAATTAAAATCTTGAGGCAAGGAAAAAGGACCCAAATAATGCAGTACTGTGAACAAAAATATCTGTGATCTTTGCCCTGTGATATGAGGAAATAAGGTGCACTACCAGCCTGGCCTACTTGATCTGCCATTGCTAAACAAGTTCTGCAGCTCCGCGTATAGCAGGCTGTGACATAATGGTGGGACGTGAGGAGAAGTAAGAGGTAATGTTGAGGTGCTAGAGAAAGGGTTGGAGATTGCTCACCTCCTTAATAATTCTTTTTCTTTAGTATGTGTGTTGCCCTTGAACCTTCTTATTCCATGCATGACTCAGCCTCCCTTTTGGTTTTAAGGTCCTGTCACTCCTGCCTCGACACGCTGCTTTGTTTGCCATCCTAGCAGGGAGGGTGAACTGGTTCAGTTTCCTTTTGGCAAGTCCAAGCCTGTTTTTCAAATGGTACTGGTAATTAATTAATTCCTTAGCATTTTTAGTTAGTCAGCTTGGAGAAAGCTGGATTTTTCATTCTAAAATACCATTTTTGCTTCCCAAACACCGCTGATTATGGCTAAAAGAACTCCTGCCATCAGTTCCCATTTCTCTGTCTTGGTGTTTATTCTGACTCTCATCCAAGTATGGTGGACAGGTTGGGATTGTGCAAGTAGAAGCCAGAAAATAGAATGTAGAAGAATAATGGTAACTTTAGATAGATGGATGGATAGATAGATAGATAGATAGATAGATAGATAGATAGATAGATAGCAATAATGCAGAAAGCAGAAAATAGTTCTAGCTTTTAGGAGGTATTTTAAAATCCATTTCTTTGGGCTTAATCATGAAGGTCACTTAAGTTAAACATTTGGCTGAAGCTCTGACACCAACACAGCTGCCGGCAGGATGGGAGCAGGAGGTGAGCTGCACTGAGACCCAGCCCTCGTTTCACCCTGTCTCACCCAGCTCTCCTGTACGTGCATTTTGGTACTTTCTGCATGTGTCACAAAAGAGGCTAAGGATGGAGTTCTCATTCCAGATTAAATCAAGATCTCTGGTTAAAGAAGGATAGAATATAAAACATGTAAGGCATCAGGATAGTAAAGAATTCTTGAATCTCCAGCTAGTTTAACTTTCCCATTGTCTTAATCCCTACAACACACCACACAGCAGCTTCTCTTGGGTTAATGTTTCCTCCTCCTTCACTCATGACATTGGGAACGTAAGTGGTATGGGCATTTGCTCACCACAGCTGCCTCCTTTACGGTCTGTTGATTTGGAAATAGACTGAGACATGTAATGCCCTTTTTGAAACATATTAAACTCAAAAAGAGCAAACAGCAGAATTCTGATAAAACCAGAATACCTTCCTCTTTTTCTTTATATTTTTATGGTAGAGAGAGGCTAAAAGAAAGTTCTTGGGATATTCTGTTGAATCAAGTCCTGTAGTCTAAATCAAGGTTCTTAATGGTGTTTCAGACTTTGTTGTAGGTGAGGAAACCCACATGTGGGCACTTAAAGGGGTAGCTCTCATTCCTCCTTTTCTTTTGGGTCACTGTTAGCAGCTTCCTCCCCTGGTGTTTAATCACTATGAAAAGGAGAGGAAGCTTTCTTCTCACATTAAATCTTAGGCTGTAGGCTGTGGTCCCTGAGTTTTTCCAAACCAAACAGAGGGCTACAGAAGGGTGAGCATATTACAAAGTACTTCCTTTTCTGCTGTTTGGACAAAGGAGGCCTTTTGAAAAATCAGGTTCAGGTGATATCAGGCTGTTCATACCACTTCAGCATCTCAGTGCCTTTTACTAAGGACCTGCTTCCTCTTCCACAGAAGGAAGCCCTGAGCAGCCTGTTCAACTAGAAAATCGATGACTGATAGAATCTTAGTTGCTGGACTGGGCTTTGTAAACAAAATCTGCCTTTTGAAGAGAATGAGGAACCAGGGTACCTAAGTGAGCTCAGCTCATAGTATTAAAATAATTGACCTTAGGTGAATATACTTGCTTTTTTCACTTAGGGGTTTCTGGCTTTCTTGTCTTTATGTCAAGGATTTGGTTAAAGTGCTGTAGGCAGCCTACAATTGTTGAATACCAATTTTTTTCATTGCTCTATTATCCTAAGCACTTTACATTCATGAACTGATTTAATTCTCAGAACATTATGAGGTAGATAATAGGTGAAGAAACTGAGGCAGATTGGTAACTTGCTCAAGGATACAGTAGAGCCAGGATTCAAACCTAGGCAATATTTCTCCAAAGCCCGTTTAAGGACCACACAGCTTATAATTCTTCTCATATTCAATAGTTAACATTTACCCTTGAGTGACAGAAAGACTGGAAGCAGAGTCAGTGTCGCGGTTGTTTTTCAGAGTATTACATCTTTGTCATCATTTAGGGACCAACCTCCTTTTTTTTTTTTTTTTTTTTTTGTCCTAGTGCTGAGGAATGTAAACAAGTTTGCTGGGCCTTGCGAGACTTCACCAGGTTGTTTCGATAGCTCACACTCCTGCACTGTGCCTGTCATCCAGGTGAGTGGTATACAGTTCCCAGGTCTCCTCTGGCTGTCGGGACTGCTTGGTGGACATAGGTTTTATGCCCATCATGGGACTAGTAGAATAGCTAGAGTCAGGGACAGACCTAGCAATTGAACACTGCTGAACAGCTGGGAAGTGCAGGGTCCTGGTTTCCTTGAGCCAACGCTCTCGAGCCGGAGAACTGTCAGCTTCTTTTGGATGCTGCTTCACCGCCATAAGAAAGTTACTGTTGCAGAATATCTCAAAAGAAGTTCCTTCCCTCTTCCTCTTACAGATGACTTCTAGGATTGTGTGTATGGTTAACAAACAAGTATTTTTTTAACCGGGCTACTTTGGGGAAAACTGTGCTGTCCTAAAGTTTACCATGATACGTAGTACCACTCTCCTAAAACTGACCTGTCAGATTTAATAAGTAAACACACTTATTCTTATCACTTCCACTATTTGAACACCGAAATGTCAGGTTTTGATCGAGGCAGAGGCCGGGGACAGGAGCTGGCATCTCTGTCTAGCTCCTGATCGTCAGTTTTCTCCATGCACATCCTGTTCCTGATTCTGATGCAAAGCAAGAAGTTGAGCTGGAGAAAGGACTGGGTAGAAGGATTTGGGTGCCACCAAGCCCACCCTTTGATGTCTTAGGCAGAATTGATTTTGCCAGGAGTCAGTCCTTTGTGCATGTACAGCATCTCACTGGTGGCTTCCCTGGTTAAATGCAGTGGTAGGTGAAGATGCTGCCCCACAATGCCTCACCGCACCGAGAATTTTTTCTACACTGCGGTTCTTTAATGAGGAGTGATATCATCTGGATTTTGAGGTTTTGCAGTGTCTGTAAAAGCTAACATTGATACACTTTGGGTGGACAGCTCTGAATGTTCATAGCTAACATTCGTGGAGCCCTGACTATGTATCGGGTACTGTTCTAAGTGCTCTGTATGTATTAACTAAGATAACCCTCATCCAATTTCCCTGGGTCAGCGGCTACTATTATTCCCATTTTACAAATGAGGAAATTTAGGTTGCAAGATGTTAAAAAGATTTACCTGACGTCAGTCAGTAATTGATAGGCATTCTGGTGCCAGAGTCCTCTACTTAATACTTTCAACCATTCTACTTAATATTTTTACAGTAGTGTCCTTTCGAGACAGCCTGAATCATTGAATCATTGCTTTTTAAACGTGTGCGTGGGTGCGTGCGTGCGTGTGTGTGTGTGTGTGTGTGTGTGCGTGCGCGTGAAAGCCTTCTTTTAAAATAAAATCTGCCCTTGTTGGTGTGGCTCACTGGGTTGAGCACTGGCCTGTGAACCAAAAGTTTGCTGGTTCAATTCCCAGTCAGGGCGCATGCCTGGGTTGCGGGCCAGGTCCCCTGTTGGGAGCATTCAAGAGGCAACCAATCAATGTTTCACTGATACATCAATGTTTCTCTCCCTTTCTTTCTCCTTCCCTTCCCCTGTCTCTAAAAATAAATAAATAAAATCTTTAAAATAAAATAAAATAAAATCTTACATGAAACCCCAATATTTAAATAGAATGAAGTGAAGATTTTCTGGTTGGTTTGGAGCGGGCATCCTAGACCTGGCTGAGTGGAAACTGGGAGTGATCCTTGCCCCCCACATGTCACCCCCAGTTGCCACAGCACCCTGAGGGTTAGCAAATCTCTGAAGGCAGCTTTTGTTCAAGCAGTAGGTCCCCTGGCATCACAAGTAAAAAATCCAACTCCTTTTTTTACTGAGTCCTTAAGACAGGCCAGAATGAGGTGCCCGAGCCAGTACAGAAACTTCTGCCTTGATTTTACAAAATGCGCACTGTCTCCTGGACCACAGGTGTTGACTGTCTTCCCTCTTTTGTCAGGAATGTCTTTTTTAATTAGAAGACGGGAAGAAAACAAAAACCAGATTGTGTCCCACAATCAGAAACCTCCATTGTGGCAGAGGAGCCTTCACCGCCACCAGGACATCCCACCAGACAGGGAGAGACTCCAGCCTTCGAGGCCATCCTGAGGAGTTCCTGTTCGGAGTGCAAGGGAAAATCAGCAGTTTTTAAAAAGATGGCTGCAGCCTGTTCGGCATGGTGGGAGGGGAGCTGGTTTCCTGGTGAACTTGTTTCTAAAAGAAAAAATAATTTTAAGGAAATAAAAAAGGAAAACTAAACTGAAACCAGAACTGAAACATCCGCCTGGTAGCAAATGACATGCACACATACATAGGAGTACCTACACACACATGCGAACATGTGTGTGCATACACAGACACAAAAACACTTAGGGAAAATGGGAATTCAAATGAATTAAATAGCTGCAGTTGGAAGAAAAGGGTCAGGATCACCTCTTACAGTTTTTTATTATGTTTCATCCTCTCCCCCCACCCTTCCCCCAATCTTCCGTTCTTCAAAGGGAGTAGAGATTCCTCCTGTCCTCCCCGGCCGTTTCTTACCACCTTTAGAGTTGTTTGGACAGCAAGGAGTAAACAAGGAGCCTTTTCTGTTTTATATCATGGCTGCATCAGTGATACTGAGACCTGCCAGGGCCAAAATTCATGTATGTCCCAGCTCCGACTACCCTATTCAATCTCGGAACCCACTGCCAGTCCACACTGGGTCAGCCTTGAAGGGAAGAGCCAGGAGGGGTGAGTGGGATATAAATGTGTAGTCTAAGTGTTTTAGTTTAAGAGGTTTTTTTAATGTTTCACCCATAGACATGAGAGAACAGAAGAGGGTAGGAATATTGAAGGTGTTCACAGGGCTAAATTGTATTTTACTTAAAAATGTGAAAATTATTTGACTTTATGGGGATGAGGTGAGAGTGCAAAGCCCAAAGCAGATCCTGATGTTTAAGGAAGCTGCAGCCCTGCACAGGTGTTGCATAGGAGGCACTGTTCTCTCTGGTGGTGTAGCCATCTCAAGAACAGATTAGCAAGGGGAAGAAAGGAAAAAATAAATTTTAAAATTTCCTCATTGTTTGTTTTTCATTCCTTTCACTGCTTCATAGTTCTGAAATGGTGCAGCTGGACCGCTTAGTTGTTACCTGATAGTCTGGGGGTGGAGCTGAAAAGGCAGCTGCCTGTGCTCAGTGCCACAGACCCTTCCCATTTGTACGGGAGCGGTGCATCCTGCATCTGTTACTCTTCTAGCTCACCCTGAAACTCCACGCCACATTTTACCTTTTCATATGGCCTCCGTGGAAAAGAGAGTGGGACACTCGGCATGTTGATCTGAAATGTGGTATATTCTTCCCACAGAGGCCGCCAAGTAGATTGTTTTCTAACCCACTGAGTATTTGGTCTTTAAAACAAAATGAAACCTGTATTCATTGACATGCAGAAATCTGCACGTTTAATGTGTACAGTTTATAAGCTTTGACCTAGGATACACCTACGAAATCATTAACCGCCAAGGTAGTGAACCTATTCTTTACTCTCAAAAGTCTCCTCATGCATCTCCCCTTCCTCCCACATACCCCAGTAGCCACTGATCTGCTTTCTGACATTGTAGATTGGTTTACATTTTCCTGAGTTTTATAGAAATGTGATCATACGGGCTTTGAGCTAATGATGACGATAGAGCTGCATCTAATGTTTTAAATCAGTGAAACAAATTTTTTTGCGTAATGCCAGTGGGACCTAAAGAGGTTTATTCTCTAAAGAGAAATTATTGGAAGGGGAGGAAGAAACTTAAATGTGAAAAAGTATTTGGAGAGAGGTCCTGAGTTTCTGGGGATCAGTACACTACCCCAGCCATTCCTCCCATGTTCTGGGTACGCAATAAAACTTGGAAGCCTGATCCAATCCTAGGTCCTTACAGCAGCTGGTTGACTTTTTTGTTTAAGGAATGTGGCTTTTATGACCAAGTTCTATCAGGGGCTGAAAGAACATGTGGAAGGCTCAATACAACCATCTCCACAGCCACAGCTGTGGAAACCGGGGCTCTCCTCTCATTAATGGGGTCGAGGCCTCACTGCACACTCTCTTACAGATTATTTCAAACTAGTCCTTACACGTAGTGTTACTTTTTGGCATGGCAAGGATACCCACCTAAGTTTTAATTTAAAAAGGAACTGTTTGGCCCTGGCTGGTGTAGCTCAGTTGATAGCATAACTGAAAGGCTACCAGGTCGTTCTCCTGTAGGGCATACACCATACACCTAGATTGTGGGTCCAGTCCCTGGTTGGGCTCATCAACGGTGAACCACTCAGTGTTTTGCTCTCACGTTGATGTTTCTCTTTCCCCCCTTCCTTCCCTCCCTCCTCTCGAAAAACAATGAAAAAACTGTGTTCGGTTGAGGATTAATTTTTAAAAATGAACTGTTTGGGATCATGTACCTTAATGTAGATAACTGTGTTCCTGTATAACATTGTCTACTGGAATAAGAACAAGAGTCTTGCACCTGAACTACTTAAGTCACAAAGTCCCCGCAGAATTTTTTTCCTCATTTCCATGATTGCCTTAGCCAGGAGATTTTAGTCATGATTATGTGAAACACAGATTATCCATTGGGGCTATTCTCAGCAGGATTATCCTAAAGAAAAGTAACTTGTAATTTTTATGTAACTGTTCTATGAAGTTAACTGAGAATATAGGGTAAATAAGACATAAAGGAACTTAAGCTTTCGAACGGCATCAACACCGCTTGAATGCAACATGCTTGTCCACCTTGCGTGGCCCTGGTTTAATGGAATCATTTTACAAAAATGAAAGCCAAAATCTAAAGAAGTTAAAAACCCAAGATTATGCAACAAGGGTGTGCCTGATTTTTTGACATACATTATCAGCAAATGAGAAAAGTTGCTTTCCAAGAAGAATCCTGTGACAAAAATGGGAAAAGCCATCAATGTAATCTACTCTATGAATACTGCAAAGTTCTTTATGTCAATGAAAAGCTGTATTAGAGGAAGTAGTCTTGAGTTAAAAGGGAATATTTAGTTAGATACAAGGATGAACTTTGTGAAGAAGGGCTTGGAGAAAGTGAGGGAGACACTGGGTGCTTGAGGAAAGGGTTCCTACCCAGGGCCGTGAACATCAGTGTTCTGTGGATTCCAGCTTCAGCACTAGCAGAGGCCACCAGCACAATCAAAGGCCACTGCCCAGGAGGACTCTAGCATAGCTAGGGAGCGGTGAATTCCAACACGCATTGTCCTGCCTTTAACCCCTGGAATGGGTTATGTCTGCCACTTCTTTTGGGCAGTGTTCACCCACAACTAGTTACTCAACACACGTCTACATAAAATGACAGCCTTGGCTGGTGTGGCTCACTGAATTGAGCACCGGCCTGTGAACCAAAAGGTCGTTGGCTCGATTCCCAGTCAGGGCACATGCCTGGGTTGCAGGCCAGGTCCCCAGGTGGGGGCATGTGAGAGGCAACTGATTGTCTCTCGTACATGGATGTTTCCCTCTCTTTCTCCCTCTCTTCCCCTCTCTCTAAAAAAATAAATTTTTTAAAAAATGATAGCCCGGTGTGCTGTCTCTGTTTTTGTTTTTATTTTTTAAGAAGTCAAAAAGTATGCGGAAGCCAAGGAAGAGCTGCCTGCAGTATGGGAGAAGTCTGTCCACAAATGGTCCTAGTGCAGTTCTTCCTTCGAGGCTTCCGTAACTCACGATGCTCGTCCTCTCTGCTCCACTGCTTGTCAGGGGTTGCAAACTCCAAGGCCTTCAGGGTCAAGGCAGTGAAAGGAGAGAAACAGGCTCGGCTATTGAACTGGGGGACATTCCCATCTAAAGTTCCAGCTGATTCTTGGTCTTGGGGAATGTGAGACAATGTTTCTAAATTTGCCAACTTTCTGAGAGAAGCTGGAAATCAGATAAACGACATCTAATTTTAAAGTGTTGACAACTAATTTCAATCTAAAGAGGAAATAGAGCTGCACAGGCCAGTGGGGAGAAAGGTGCTAACCTTGGTAAATGGCTGAAAAATAAGACTAAAGGCAGAACTGTAGGTAAACAGTGTACTCCATCTAGTTGGTAAAGTTCCTTAAAGGAGTTTGGGTTAACAGTTCTGAAGCCTCTGTACACAACGTGCAGTATGGAAAAGGGTTGTAAAAGAAGTCACTTTATAGTGGAGGAACCTGACAAATGCAACCTTAGCCAGGTGATCAAGATCAACATCAGTGATAAGTCATGGTGATAGTGTGTACCCTCAATATGATATGGTGAGGACAATACTTCACCTCTGCAGTCTTTCTTACAAATGACCATGATAAACATCAGATAGACCCAAGTGAGGGACATTCGAAAATACACCCTCAAGCCCTGGCCAGTGTGGCTTGGTTGGTTGGAGCACCACTCTGTAATGGAAAAGTTGAGGGTTTGATTCCCAGTCAGGGCACATGCCTAAGTTGCAGGTTTGATCCCTGGTCTTGGCACCTGTCAGAGGCAACCAATCAATGTTTCTGTCTCTCTCTTCCTCTCTAAAAGCAATGAAAAGCTCTGGCTGGTGTTGCTCAGTGGGTTGAGTAACATCCTGTGAACTAAAAGGTTGCCAGTTGGATTCCCAGTCAGGGCACATACCTGGGTTGCAGGCGAGGTCCCACAACCGACTAATGTTTCTCTCCCTTTCTCCATCCCTTCCCCACTCTTTAGAAATGAATAAATAAAATCTTTATTTAAAAAGAAACAATGAAAAAATGTCCTCAGGTGAGAAAAAAAGATGAGTAAAATATACCCTGAAAAACGAGGGAAGTCTGAGAAACTGATCAGTGGAGGCTAACAATGAATAAATGTAATTTGATAACTTGCATGAGATCATGGAACAGAACTAGATAAAAACTAATTAAATCTGACTAGAGAATGGAATGTAGTTAATAATAGTGTATTCATATTGTTTGATTAGTTGTGATATATATACCATAGTAATGTAAGGCATCAACAACTCGGGAAACTAGGTGTGGGGTGTATAAGAACTCTTAGCAACTTTCTATAAGTCTACGTCTAAAACTTAAAATTGTTTATTAAAAGCAAAAATCTGCACAAGCCACTTAACTTTATGAAGACACTCAGCCTCGCTCATAAGGAGAAGTGGCACCGAGATACCATTTCTCGCTCGTCAGGTTGGCAGAAACCCGAAAAGTTAAGAGTCTGCGGGCGAGACTGGGAGACAGGCACACTGACAGCTTCATCAGGATTTTGCCAATGCCTGGCAAAACCACACACACATTTATGCTTTGGCCCAGAAGTTCCATTTCTGGGCCTCCATCCCAAAGATACAATGACAAAAATATAAAAGGATCTAAATATGTATGAACCTATTCTCTGCAGCATGATGCATAGTAACTAAAGGTGGAAACAACTCAAAAGCTCACTAATAGGTGGTCAAAAGAAAACCTGCGTACAGTTGAGCCTCCAGAATCCAGAGTCTAGGTCAAAGTACCAAATCACAGGAAATATGGAAGACAAAATATGTTAACACCACAACAGAGGTGCAGTGAGCAGCATCTAGGCAAAAGCAAAATGCAGAACAAACAATGCAGTTTCTTTCACAGATAAATTGCAGGGGGATAAAATTTCTCTAACTTCTTAAACTATCGATATTTGATAGAAATTAATTTGTCACATTAGGTCAGGTGATACTTGTTTTTTTTTAGAATGTCCTTGTCCTTTAGAGATCTATTCAGACCATTTACGCGTGAAGTGTTACATGTAGGATTTGCCTCAAAATAACTTCAGGATGGGGATGTGGATGGAGTTTAGGTGAAAAAGACTATAAATTGATAATTGTTGAAGCTACTACTTGAGGATATACCATTCTCCCTACTTTGACAAATGTGTAAAATCTTCCGTAACAAAAAGATAAACAACAAAATTGTTCAGGCCAGAAAAGTACATCTATGAGCCATATTCAAACAAGGAACTACCAATTTGCATGCACTGTCCTACTATATTTAATAGCATATGATTTATACATGAGGATGACATCATAATGGCCTTACACAGAGTTGAAATACCAGCCTTTTTCACCATTTCTAATAGGAAATTGATTTGGACAGGGTTTTAGATTCTGCACCCATTCAAAAATCCACACCCTTGCTTTAGCCAGCTTCCCCCCGGGGAGCAGCCAGCCAGGGGCGCGCTTATGACGGCCCCTCTGACTCACCGGTCTGGAAGGCAGGTGCCCCTGTATGAACAACCCCAGCGATGGAGGGCCGGCGCTGGGGACAGAGGGCCAGCTGGCATCAGAAATAGGATCTTTTAGAACAGCATGGAAACAAGTGGTACTGGAAAAAGTAAAGAAACAGCTGAGTGTGTTTTTAACTTTTATTAATCCAAAAATACATAAAATTCCACTTTCTACCCCAGGTTCTTGGACTCTCAAGAAAGGAGGTAGCTGCCAGTCTTAAGTATCTGGTATAATACCCAAGTGCTCAAATCTATCTCAGAAAGGAGAAAGATGAGGAAGTGAGGCTCAGACTAGGGAACCCCCAAATCGGGCCCATGCCCTGCGGAGGCCCTGCCAGGGGCCCCTGATGTGGAACAGGAGGCTTTCTGCCAGAGGAGATGGGGGCACTCGGGGGGCCATTTCCGCTGCACAGTTAGGCCCCAGCGTCAGGGGAAGTCCTTCCCTGCTCACTGGCGTTGATGGCTGAGTTCCACCAGGGCCAGCAAACCAGAGCTTGCAGAGGCACGTCCAGAAGAAAGAGCCCCCAAAGCAAACCTGGCCCCCAGCTTCCCTCAGCTCCTACAGGGAGAACCTGGAACTCGGGCCTCTCTTTCCTCTCCTTCTTGGCCCAAATCCACTCCCACGAGACCCAGAGATAGGACCCTGCAGCCAGGCAGGCACCCGGTGGGGCCATCACAGGAAGTCCACAAAGCCTCCCAGGAAGCCTGTTTCAGTCACTATCTGCAGCCTCATTGCATGCCAGCGGGGTGCACTGGCCAGGGCCCCTGGCCAGGAGGAGGGGCCTGGGCCACAGGCTGCAGCTGCTGCTGGGACTGCCAGATGTGATGGAGCTCCTTGAACTGTTCCACCATGTGATCTTTGAGGTCTGGGTTTGAGATCTGTAGCCGGATACTATCAGCCGACCAGGAGAGCTCCCCTGAGAACATCTCCAGCAGCAATCGAGCGGCGACAGGCACCACCTGGGGAGCAGAGGGACAGAAGAGCAAGAACCTTGACGGGGCTGTCAAGTCCAGTTGTGCCCGAGGCCATCCACCAGGGGGCAGGTGATGGACTGCATCCACCAGGAAGAAGGGGCACCAATCTATATGTCCTAAGAAGGTTACTAATGCGTGGGCAGCCCCAGGCCTTGATTACCTCTGGTGGCCGAGTTCACACTGCCCAGAGGGCCTGGAGCCTCCACTGTGGGACAAAGGCTTGTCTCAGGATTCCCCAACAGTCAAGCCAAAGCAGAGCAGGGGCTGGGGCGATACCTGTACGGTGATGAGCTTCTTCTCTCTAGGTTTGCGGTCAGGCCACTCCTCCCCAAAGCAGAAGAATATTTCAAATGGCGGTGGGGTGTTGGTCTGGCCTTTCTGGAACAGGATGAGCTCTGCAGCGAGAACAAGGTCCTTAGAGGCGAGAACCGTGTGCCTGGACAAGCGCGCACCAGGAGGAACACGACGCGGAGCCCTCACCATTGAGAAAATGCTCCAGGCTGAAGAGCTTGGTCCTGACCTCCCGCTGGATGGGGTTGGGGTGCGAGCCATGAAGTGAGGCGCATGGCCCGCTCCAGAACACCTTGCACTGGCACAGGCGGATGGCATACAGGTCCTGGCCTTGTAGCTGGAGGATGAGCCCGCGGTCCAGGACGTCCAGCAGCTGGTTGGTGTAGAAGCGCTGCTTGTCGCTGGGGATGTCCTCAGGGCTAGGGAAGCGCACTTGCTCCAGGCTCACTGGGCCGAAGAGCTCCACCTGCTCCTGGGTGGCCTCCAGCTGACTGTAGAAAAGCCGGCAGCCATGAGGGTTGCTGATGGTGAGGGCGCGGGGTGGCCGCCCCCGGTACTGGAACTTGATCTCCAGGTCGGTAACTGTGGGGCAGAGGGGCAAGACCGCCCGGGCTGTGAGCCCCGCCCCGCCCCTCCCCATTCTGCATTCTGCAGCCCACAACTTTCTCTGCCGGCGGCTAGGTCATCTTGTCATCTCTCCCACTTCCACCCACCCAAGGAGGGACTGACACGGGCATCTTTGTTCTTTCCTTCGCCATCCTCCAACCTCTTGGCAAACCAACCCCCAGCCCCGCTTCACCTGGCCCAGTGCGCCCACCCGTGGTTCCTTACTTACGGGGCAGCATGTGGGGGCTGATCAGCAGGTCGGGCAGGAGTTGTTCACCTTCGGGGGGCAGGCTGGCAGCCAGGGGCCCAGGCTGCAGGCTCGGCAGGACCTCAGGGAGAAGCTCCCCGAAGGCAGTAGGGTCCCCAGGGGCAGAGCCCAGGAGGCTGGGGTCCGGAGCAGGGGGGCCCAGCCCCACAGGCGGCTGGAGAGGAGGTGGCCACTTGACATCCTCTTTGGGTAG